GGTAGCATCGAAAACATGAGCCTGAAGAGACGGTTACAGCATTGCTCGAGCTTCGTATCTGAACAAGCTAGGACGATAGATCGATATCAGACATCACCATGGCACATCGTGAATTTAAAACAAATGCATCACTTATAAACAAGAGGTATTTGAACAGTTAGAATTTTGTTACAACTAATAAAAGCATGGCTATTCCTTTGCTAAAAATATGTAAAAGACATGGGCGCTCAACATTTTAGACATATACCGTCCGTTGAAAAGCCCCTCTACTGTCTGCCCTCGAAACCCAATCGAGAACATCAGGATGTACGCCGTATGTGACCCAAAATATCAATTTGCTCTTCTTTACTTTACTTCATTCCTTCTTTAGTTCTTCTTGGCCTTGGCCATGGTGTTCAGGGCGGAACCGTTCTTGAACCACTCGATCTGGGCCTCGTTGAAGGTGTGGGACAGAGGGATCTCGAAAGATGGGCTGCCGTCGGCGGGGTGGACAACAAGGGGAAGGGGCTTGCCAACAGCGAGCTGGGTGCAGAGGACATCGACCTTGTCCTCAGGTCGGATCTTGTCGTAGTCGGCAGGGTCGGTGAAGGTAAGAGGAAGCATACCCTGCTTCTTCAGGTTGGTCTCGTGGATACGGGCGAAAGATCGGGTAATGATGGCAAGACCGCCAAGGTGACGGGGCTCAAGAGCGGCGTGCTCTCGGGAAGAACCCTCACCGTAGTTCCAGTCACCAACGACAACCCACTTGATACCCTTGGCCTTGTAGTCACGGGCAACAGCAGGGACGGCACCCCACTCACCAGTGGTGACGTTCTTGATCTTGTTGGCCTCACCGTTGGCCTCGTTGATGGCACCAATCAACATGTTGTTGGAGATGTTGTCAAGGTGGCCACGGTACTTCAACCAAGGACCGGCCATGGAGATGTGGTCAGTGGTGGTCTTGCCCTTGGCCTTGATGAGGATAGGGATATCCTTGGCATCCTTGCCATCCCAAGGCTGGAAAGGAGTCAGGATCTGGAGACGGTCGGAGGTAGGGGCGACATCGACAGTGACGCTGGCACGGTCACTGGGAGGAGCCTGGTAGGTGTCCTGACCGGGGTCGTAGCCCTTGCTGGGAAGACCATCGCCGGTGGGAGGAGCAAGCTTGAACTCCTTGCCGTCCTTGTCCTTCAGGGTATCGGTGAGAGGGTTGAAGTGGAGGGAGCCGGCAATGGTCATGGCAACGACCAGATCAGGGGAGGCCACGAAAGAGTGGGTGGCGGGGTTGCCGTCGTTTCGGCCAGTGAAGTTACGGTTGTAAGAAGAGATGATAGAGTTGGCCTCGCCCTTCTTGACGTCGCGTCGGTCCCATTGACCAATGCAAGGGCCGCAGGCGTTGGCAAGGACGATACCGCCGAACTCCTCAAAGGTCTGGAGCTGACCATCACGCTCGATGGTGGCGCGAATCTGCTCGGAGCCGGGGGTGACAGTGAAAGCAGCCTTGGCCTTGATGCCGTGGTTGAGGGCATCACGGGCAATGGAAGCAGCACGGGTCATGTCCTCGTAAGAGGAGTTGGTGCAAGATCCGATAAGACCGACCTTGAGCTCCTCGGGCCAGCCGTTCTCCTTGACAGCCTGGCTGAACTTGGAGATGGGAGTACCCAGATCGGGAGTGAAGGGACCGTTGATGTGAGGCTCGAGCTCGGAGAGGTTGATCTCGATGAGCTGATCGTACTCGGCACCCTCGTCGGGCTTGAGGCCGTGGGCGTACTGGCGGGCGAAGTCACCGATCTCCTTTCGCTTGGTGGCGGCGAGGTAGTCGTACATGCGGTCGTTGAAGGGGAAGACGGAGGTGGTGGCACCGATTTCAGCACCCTGGAGAATATCAGCCAACAATCCTATTCACGGAAGAGCAAGAGTCACTTACCATGTTGCAAATGGTGGCCATACCGGTACAAGAGATAGCGTCGGTACCAGGACCGTGGTACTCAACGATAGCACCAGTACCACCCTTGACAGTGAGGATATCGGCAACCTTCAGGATAATATCTGAAAATGGGTCAGCAAAGTCAAGAGGAGAAGCTAGAGGTCATCCCTACCCTTAGGAGCAGTCCAGCCGTTAAGCTGGCCAGTGAGCTTGACACCAATGACGTTGGGGGCCTTGAGCTCCCAGGGGAGATCAGCCATGACATCGACAGCATCGGCACCACCGACACCAATGGTAGCCATACCGAGACCACCACCATTGACAGTGTGAGAATCAGTACCGATAAGAAGACCACCAGGGAAGCAGTAGTTCTCGAGGAGAATCTGGTGAATGATACCAGAGCCGGGCTTCCAGAAACCGATATTGTACTTGGCACAGGCAGTAGAAAGGAAGTTGTAGACCTCCTTGTTGATATCAATAGCGCGGGCAAGATCCTTGGCACCACCGACTTGGGCCTCGATCAAGTGATCACAGTGGACAGTAGTGGGGTTGGCAACCTTGTCCATGCCAGCGGACATGAACTGAAGGATAGCCATCTGAGCGGTGGCATCCTGGCAGGCAACACGGTCAGGTCGCAGCTTGAGGTAGCTCTTGCCACGCTGGATGTCTTGGCCATGAGGGTCGTCCAAGTGAGAGTATAGAATCTTCTCAGCGTAGGCCAGAGGTCGGTTCAGACGAGCACGAACGATGTCGAGGTTCTCGGACATCTTCTTGTAGTTGATGTAGTTACCCTCCTCCCAGTTGTTCTGTCGGACCTGTCCAGCGAGGCATATTAGCACAATTGTTCCCGGATCTCATGTCTTGCATCTTCCCAAGTCCATAACCCGGGCTTCATATTCTCTGTTTGCCATTGAGCTGTAAGTCGCGCAGTTCAGGCCTCGGCATTGCTGGTGGATTGGCAGCCGAACTGGCCCATGCGCCATGACGTTCGGCGCCTGGCTGGTAGTGCAAAGAGGAAGTGATGAAGTTTCGTATCGTGGAATCAAGAGACGGCAATGCAATTGGTTTGAGGCTTACCTTCTTGTCCAGAGGGCTATCTGAGACTGTGGCCATGCGGCGGAAGCCAGAGGCAGCGCCAGCAAGGGCGCGGCTCCGGGACATGTTGCCCAGAACCTGGCGTGGAGCAAGCATTGCGACTATGGTGCTGTGAGGGGACTGTCGTTAGCAAAGAGTGATCAACGACGACGGTTGGGTATTATAATTGACTTACGACCCAATATCGGTCGATGAGTGACTCGATGTATGCTTGAAGGGTGATTGCGAATGTTCAACTGAAGAAGTTGAAGCTTTTCGGGTGGGTTGAAGGAAGAAGGTGGGGGAATGTGCTGCCGAGCAGGTAAGGATTTTATGCTCTTCAGCTGGTCATGTGTTTATCTGGGTTAATGCAGCAATTGGGTTTTATAATTTAGCTCAAGCAAGAAACGGACGTAAAGTTTATGTATTATTTTTTTGGGATTTAAATTGGTATCAAAGTGTTGTAGAGGTTTCAAGGACATCATCTGATTGTATTACAGTCTTGTTTTATATATTGGTTTATATTAACATCATTCTCATCTCATACACAGTAAATTATTCGTCTTCTTCCACAGAAGCCACGATTTGATTCTCTTTTTTTCCCTCTGGTTGCGAGGCAGTTGCTGTTACCTCGGTCTTGCGGGCACCCGTTACGGCGTGAGCCCCGGACCATGATGTAATTTCCGCATCGTGGGCCCCGAAACGGTCTAGGCGTCCATCATGCCCCGGAACCTCACAATCAATGACAAAAGATGCTCTCTGGTTGGCCAAAACTCTGACTCGCTTCCCAGGGTTTAATCGCTACAGTTCCTCGGGCCAGCGGCTTTACCTTCGGTCGCCGCTGAACGGACATATCCCTTCGCACATGCGATACTCCGAGGCCATGATGCTCGGTCACCGATCTTTTTGGGCTTCAAAACACTGTTTTTTTTCGGAATTCAATTTTCATCTGCGAGCGGTTGAGGGAATTTGGGTAGCCCTTGAACGAGGGGGAATGTGAAGCTTTTCACCAAACCCCAACCTCCTATGCCCTTGTATGCACACCCCAATTGTGGTTCTGCCAAATGTCATGCCGGAGACCGCCCAGTTCATATGTATCATCCAATAATAACTGAGGCGATTATAATCTTCATATCCGTTCTTGGAGCCGATCGCAGGCTCTTGTCCACCTCTAAGCTGCATCATGAACTCCCTGTATCGTAACCCACAATCCTGATGGAGCACTGGGAGCCGATCAACTCTATCGCATATTCTAGTACGGCGCAGACGGCTATGCAAACGCCCATCTAACCGTGCAAGCGTCCTTCTTCTCGTCCTTTCGAGCTTGAACTCTTTGCCGATCGTTGATCCCGGAGCCGGCGACCCCAGACCCGCTATCCGCCGGGTATCACCAAGCCCGGCCAATTCCCATCTGATGGCTGAACAAGCTGGAAGGCTGGGCATGTGACAGCATGTCTCAATTTTTATGAGAGGCTCAACGCCGATTAATTCCATGAGATTTCTATACAAGCATAATAGACCATTAGAATGAAACAAAATATCAGAGCACGGAGGGCTCTACAAGAAAGCATTGAGCTGGTCACAGTTCCGTTCTACAATGATGCTCCTTCGTTAGCCTACTGCTTAGGTGCTCAGTTGTTTGTCACAATGACATTTGGGGCCTTTTATCATGTAGACTTTCTGTTCTACCTTGTTCAATTTTATTGTTTTGCCGTTTTGTCTTTCGTTACTTCCCTTCTATTTCTATTCAAAGTCTCTCGAATTTGATTTTCAAGTCGCACAATGCCTTGCTTTGTCTCTGACTCGAAATGGTCGTGATATCGTGCCGTCTTGAGATTCAACCTGTGGCTGTAGTGCCCCGCATCCGTCTTATCAGCTTATCGGTTCAGCCCCACCAGAACTTTTTTCGAAAATCGCCAACCTCAGCGACCGCTTAGGTAGCTTGAAGTATTGAAGTTACCAATATCACAATCTGGAATAGCATACTCCAAGAACCGCATTCGTCCAAGTCACCGCGAAGATGGGTGTCACAAACAAGAAGACAATCACCAAGACAAGGCGCAAGACTCGAGACGTCGACCAGGTCAAGGCCGACCTCATGTCACCCAAGCATTTGAAGCAATTCATGGAGACGAAGGCTGCTGAGGATCTTCCCGGCCTTGGGCGTCACTATTGCGTTGAGTGCTCCAAATGGTTTGATACGGATGCTACTCTGGTATCGCATCAAAAGGGAAAGCCTCATAAGAGAAGGTATGTCACATAGTGACTCGCAATGATTATCCATTTGTCTACTCTGACATGTGTACTAACTCTCCGCTAGAGTCAAGCAGATCGCCGAAGGGCCATACACTCAACAGGAGGCTGAAGCTGCCGTCGGCTTGCGAACAGACAACGGCGACCGAAAGCGCACATTTGCCGACCAAGATAATGATGTTGCCATGGACGCCTAAATCTTGTCCGATAAAATTCTTCATAGCACGCTAAAAGGGGGATATGGAATCCTAGGGCGCATCGGAGCTGGGCTTGATTTTTGACATTGCAAATGGCGTTTTGGAATATTTCTGTCGATATCCCAATTAAATTCACCTAACACCACGACCGCGCGCTCTGGCCAGTCCACTAGGCCGGCTACGTCCGACACCGCGAGTCGACCTTCCCCGAGACGACGTTCCTCGACCGGGAGCAGCAGGGAGACGTGATTGTCTTTTTGGAGGCTCTGGTGTGGTGAATTTGGAAGACTTGGTGGTAGTGGGAGGATTCTCGACAAAGGACGTGTCAGTGGTCCTAGAGGCTAGTTAGAAGAGCCAATGAAGGGTCTTTACGGACAAGATTTACATGAATGTCATTTCTGCATCAGCCTCTGATTTTGATGGGGTCACGGCGGGTTGTTCTGGTTGAGTCCGGTCTCTGCGGAAAGATTCCGGGACAGGTCCCTGCGAGAATAAGCTTTAGAAATAACAAAGCCGTACATATCCAACACGGATAGCTTCGATAGACATACCTCTGGGAAATCAACACAAAAGGCATTCATGTTCAGGCCATAAAGGAAGCTCGCAAACGATTCACTGAATCTCGCTAAACTCTCGTGCATAAGCTGAAAGTGCATCATATTTGCTTCGAGGTCGGCCATGGCATCGGAAAGTTCAGCAAAGGCTGGCTCAAACGCATTCATCGGAAATGGTGCATCGTGTTCTCCAGCACCTCGCGCGGACTCGCGAAAGGATGATCGGGATGAAGGTCGCAGCGGGGTGGTAGGTCGTGACGTTCGGGAACGAGAATTTGAGCGTTTGCTGGGGTCCAGAGGTGTAGTTGACATTTTGGCAGCTTTTGTTCTGCTTCGCTTTCGCTGTTCTGCTTTTGTGTACTGTTTTTTGTATTCGTGGCTCGGCGTATGGGTAATGTAATCCGCGTATTTGATATCGCGACCTGAAGTTGGATTGTACGAAAGTCAACAAACATTGGATGGTAGTCTGTTGTGGCGCCCCCGCAATTCGTTTCGAGATGTGGCTCCCAGTCCTATGTGGCTTTCCCCACGACGCTTCCCAGATAGCATCATATGTACTGTACATCATGCCCGATTTTGATATCAGTTGGTCTCGAGCCTTACTTACTTTTGCTATTTTGTTATTTCAAGATTGCATTTTCCAAAACTTGTAATACCTCAAGCATGATGGGCATTACGGTTTCCTCTCCTATCCACGTTTGAGAGATGTCGCGTGAGCAGTCTCCTAGTAACTAAGGGGCAGACAATACGAAGACATACGATATGGTACGGATACCGAATTAAGGAAAGTTCATTGTAGGAAGACTTTGGTAAAGAACACTGCCATGTTATGACCATTCTTATTTTACATCGACTGCGAGACATGGGGCCCCTTGACCATGGGATATCATAGGATTCTTTGTCTTGTACAAGCTTGGTAGCTCTGTAGGGTAGAGCACAGCCACACTCACATCACGCTCACACTTGACGGACTTTGTTGTCAATTTCAATTATTTTCAGATGTCTTACTACTTTCTCTCCTGGACATGGCCTTGATGTTGTTTCGCCTTTTGTTCGAGACATCTTAATTGGGGTTCTTGAGGTGCGTGGCAGGAACATCAATAGCAGGCCTCCAGCTCCAATCGTTGTTCCCGAGTACTCCGAACACTAACAAATGCCCTACCTAGCCTACATCAATAATTGATCCTATCCACTCCTCATCCGCGGAAACCGGAGTCTTGCAGGCTCCGAACACACATTGAGCATCAACAGGCTATTCTGTTTTATTACGCTCGTCCCAGCCTATTAAAATCCGCACGATTCATAAAAATCATCAAACCTGGAGGCCTGTCAGTGGATTGTCGATACTTTGTACCTGCAAAGCAGCTTTGAGGATCTGTGGAGCCAATACCACGCCAAGAAAGAGTGTCCCGCATTCTAAAAATCCCCATAAACGACGACATTGATTAACCTACCCAACTTTAGTTTTTGCGGCGTATGTGTACGCGTTTGCAAATCTGACATATCCTTCTCAATCCTTTACCTATGAGGACTCATCTGAGACGGAACCTATGCTCGTATAGCCCTCTTAAATACTCCTCTCAGCCACTTTCGCGCCACCTCCAGCTACGGTCATCTGTCCTTTCTTCCAGCTTACTGAGACAACCCCTTACAACCTCACGAGGAGCCCCTGCATATACTAGGAGCATCGCCTCTGCGAGATATCTCACAGGTTTAAGGAATCTCACTCACTCAATTGCCATCAAACGGACATTACACAGCAAGGCCGGCTCAGATCCAAGTAGCAGACTTCCCCTCGAGGCCAACTCGCTTTACTCAGTTGTTGTAGCTGTAGCAGTCATTACGTCTGTTGTTGCTATATCAGCTTGGCCTGCAGGAAGCCCCAGCAAACAGCCCCCACCAGAAGAATTCGAGGAAGAGTTCGAGATCATGTCTTTCCAATTACCCCCTGGGCGCCCAGGGAACCTGACTACCGAGCAAGAGGAGAAGCTTCGCAAGCTATGGACTGCTGTTTTCCAACTCACTGGCGTGGCCGATGAGGAGAGCTCTGGTGCCAACCTCCTGCCCCAGAAAGAGGAGGCGAGTCCAGCAGAGGCCGATCCTAAGAAGAAGCGAGGATTCGGCATGTTCAAGAAAGGCAAATCCGGTACTTCGACACCAACTGAAGCTTCCGCTGAAGAGGACAAGTACAATGAAACTAAACAATTCCACGAGACTTTGGCCAACGAGTCCCCTGAAACAATTCGACACACGATATGGTCCATGGTGAAGCATGATCACCCTGATGCCCTCGTTCTGCGGTTTCTCAGAGCACGAAAGTGGGATGTCGAGAAGGCTCTTGTCATGTTGGTGTCCACTATGCATTGGAGGCATAACGACATGAAGGTAGACTCTGAAATCATGAAGAACGGAGATGCCTTTGCGGTTGAGGATGAGAAGACCAACTCTCCTACCAAGCAAGTTAGCACCGACATGATGAAGCAACTCCGAATGGGAAAGAGTTTCCTGCACGGCACTGATAAGCAAGGCCGACCTATCTGTGTCGTCCGGGTTCGCCTGCACAAGGCTGGGCAAGAGTGCGAAGAAAGTCTGGAAAAGTACACAGTCTACATTATTGAGACAGCGCGCATGACCCTTCAACCCCCTGTTGATACAGCTGTAAGTGCCCGTGGTCTAGAAATCATAGCACAACACTGACAGGCAAACGCAGTGCATTGTTTTCGACATGACTGGCTTCTCAATGGCCAACATGGACTACACCCCTGTCAAGTTCATGATTAAGTGCTTCGAGGCCAACTATCCCGAGTCTCTAGGTGCTGTCCTGGTGCACAAAGCTCCCTGGCTTTTCCAAGGTATGTTGCTCTTTTCAGAGTGAAGATAAATACTGACTCATAATAAGGTATCTGGAAGGTCATCCGTGGCTGGCTTGACCCTGTGGTGGCAGCCAAGGTTCACTTCACTAACAACCGGGCTGAACTCGAGGAGTTCATCGCTCCAGACCATCTGATCAAGGAGCTCGAAGGTGATGAGAACTGGGAGTACAAGTACATCGAGCCTATTGCTGGCGAAAATGACAAGATGAAGGATACGCAAACCCGGGATCGTCTTTTGACTGGCCGTGAAGAGTTGGTCAAGAAATTCGAGCATACAACCAGAGAATGGATCCGACATCCTGATGGTGAGCAGGGCAAACAACTCAAGGCCGAGCGAGAGAAGGTTGCCAAACTTCTCAAGGAGGATTACTGGAATCTTGACCCATATATCCGAGCACGAACACTCTACGACAGACAAGGTGCGATACAGAGTGATGGCAAGACTGACTGGTACTCGCTCAAGCCACCGGCTGCTGCGGGAGCCAGCACTTCTGCTGATGACCTGGACTAGACGAGACGTGTGAAGGACAAAAGGGGCATGGATTGTAGATAATCAGGTTGATTTGGCGGGGCAGGATGGTACCTGGTGACCGGACAATAATACTAGAAGGGCTCTTAATGAACCAGTTCCCTAATTTCCCAATCCATCACTGTTGCATATGCGTATATCGAAGCTCTTTAGATCTTGGCCTTGAGCTCCTCACAGTAAGCCTTGAGCTGTTCCATATCTGCGGGCTTTGTGGGCCATTGAACGCCGAGGCCCTCGGTCTCGTTGGGCTTAGGGATCTGAATACTCGTTAGCGATAGCTCAACGATAGTTTAGGCTTTATCTTGTTACCATATGGAAGTGAACCTAGGACTATATTAGTTTCTGACACCGTAGATTTGTTTTTATAGGCTTACATGATCAACTTCTTGGTGAGCAATACGGCCATTGTTCTGGAGGATGTTGTAATCAGTAGCACCAGTCGCGTTGACAATCTTCTTGACAACAGGCTATGGACACAATTAGACTTGAGAATTCATCACTAACGCCCCAGTACTTGCCAGAATCTCGGTGAGGTGGTCGTCGGGAATATCGGCCAGCTTAGCACCGTGGTGCTTGGGGATGACAAGCTATATCTTGTCAGTTGGTTCATGACGTGAGCTGTTGAGAACATACAGCGTGGCCCTTGCTGAGAGGACCAATATCGAGGAAAGCGAGAGTCTTGTCGCTCTCAAATAGCTTGAAAGAGGGGATATCACCTGATGAAGGATTAAGTCAGTCTACACGAGGACCAGGAGTTAGACAAAGGAGCTGATAAACACCCTCAACATACTCTCCCCTCAGCAACCCCCAGTATACTCTCCACTCATTCATTCAACCACCGTGCTTATCCCTTCTCTTACCCTTGATGATGCGACAGAAGATGCAGGAGGACATTTTGGTGTTCGATTATTTGGTTGTTGAAGAAAGTAAATAGAAAAAAAGAATCAGAAAACAAGGTGAAATTCAATTGTCAATTGAAGGATCAGATTACATGAGGTAACACTGAGAGAGGTGAAGCATGGAGCTACCTATTCTATGAGGGGCAGCTGGTGTGGGCTTTGATTGGCTGTTACGCTTGGATTGAGGGTATATAAGTCAAAATAACACTGCTTTCTTTCGGAGTGGGACCTCCCATCGAACTCACCTCTTGCCTTTTACCAGATGTGACCGTGGGATTGGCCCAACAGACTCCATTCACCCAATCTTTGGAAACCATTCGTCTAGAGACTCTAGATTCGAATTTTGATTTTTGTTCCATTTTTCTATTCAAAAGCATTCTAGAGCGTCAAGTGTCAGTCGGCCTTTTGTTTTTGGTATTTTTTAAGACCATTGAAGCCCATTTTTGGGCGTTTTAATAGCTTTCATGCCCATGTTTCTAGAAGTGAGGCTTCTTTCTGCGCCTTGATTTTTACGTCATCTTCATCTCGGCGGGGTCGCCTCAGCCCCTCCAAGCACAATAGGGTACCTAACTAACTGCCCGTGCTTCCCAGGCAGCATAACCGTACCAAGCAACCCATGATCCATCACTCTTCGCCCACTTTCAGGCGCCCAGTTTCTACCTTGTAGCACTTTTTGCCAAGATTTGCTGTTCCAGTCAGTCAGTACCCGTACGAGTCACGAGCTTGACCCTCCGAAGCATATATACTACAACTTTCGCCACGGACTGCTCCTTAGCTTAGTACTAACATAGTACGATCGACACCTTCAAGTTTGCGACAAACCTGCAGATTCCAAGCCATATACAACCGTCGAATTTTCTCAAAACGAAATGCCTGAATACATAAACACGCCTCTCTTTGGCGGCGCCATCACTTGCGATCTGCCCGCCAAGTTCGCCGACGTCAGGTTCGTCCTCGTTGCTCTTTGCGCCTAACTACACCACTTCCTGTGCTGACTCTATGCGCTGCAGCAAGTTGCGACAAGTTCCCGATAACCAAGAAGTCTGGATCGATCAGGATGGTTTCACCAGCATCATCTTCGACATCACTGAGCGTGTTGGAGGCTCTGGCTCAGGCCCTGAGGTGGATGGTCGTGCCATGACAACTCATCTTGAAGATATGGTTGGTTCGGATATCGATACCGTCAAGATCTGGAACACTGCCGAGACCGAGTTCTCGAATCTAGAGTATGCTGTCTCAGATGCCTTCTGGAGGTGGCAGTTACTGATATCTGTAGACCTGGTACTCCCGCATACACTCTTATTTCCACGCAGACTCCTCGCGTGAACCAGTCCCGCGACTCAACATCTGCGCCCGATTTCACAGCCATCATCCTAACTCTTCTGCGGCTCGAGAAGGCCAAGACTGATATTCTCATCACAATCAATGTCCCTCACATCAAGGGAGAGTACGACGAGGCTGAGGTTGATCTTGAACTAGGGCGTCAGGGTAAGCTCATTGGCGCTGCCGTTGAGTATTCTGCTACTATCTGGTCAACATTTAAGATCAAGGACTGGGGTCTCTTTGGTGAAGCTTAAGGTGGTTGAAGTTTGTTAAAAGCGAATGGATAACATATTTAGGTTCCGGAGGGAATGCAGCAGGAAAGAGCTAGGATATCATGAGATGACTACCACGACTTATGACCCGTTTTCTTTGTTGATGGATGATACACAATTATGGACATGACAAGTGTGATTCCCTAGCATGAGGGATTATGCAGGCTTACAAGTTGCTTTCAGATTAACATGACAACATGTCATGATAGAAGGCCATATTGATGAACATTCAGGCATATGTAGCTTGGGAAGCTCTGCAATTTTAAGACTGCTGGCTGATAAGAGTCAACTCGAAATTTGTCTGCATTCGCTGACTATATACACTCTATCATCACTCCAACGTATTAAAAGTTTGCCCGTTTATACAGTGTGGTCGATGAACTTCTATGAGGGTAGTGAAGGCAGTATCTCTATAGACTGGAGAGTATTTATTCCTAGATATGTTATATGATATCTTACAGTCTGGGTTTTGACAGGCAGCGTTGTGGGTGGGCGAAGACGCAGGTGAATTCGGTTAACTCGGACACGCAAATTATAATATTGAATGGGTATAGACAAACAAACTCCTAATTATGCATTTATGCTTCAGTCTCGATAGTTAGATCAACCATCTTGTCAACAACACTCTCAACTCCCAGCTTGCTAGCCACTTTGCTTCCAGTCTTACCACCCTCTTGCTTCGCCCACTTCTCTGCAATGAGCTTCATGACCACCTTCTGGGGACTGCCTGGGTTCTCTCCTCTGACCACACTCATCTGCTCTTTCACAAACGCCTGATATCGGCTCGGTGATTTGCCTGCTGCTGCTCCCCTTGGTACTGGCTTGGTCTGCTTCAAGTTGCCCTTGCACTTCCCACATTTAGATCGCTGAGTATCAATACTTTTGGAATGCCGCTTATACTCAAGTCCGCATTCTTCACACTCCCAAATGTACTTGAAGTCGATTTCGTAACTGTGCTTGGTTGTCACTTCGATGCCGCGATCGCCAAACTTGGCCGAGCACTTGGCCGCCCAAGCCTTGAACTCTCGGCCATGAGGGTTTGTCGTTATGCCACTGATCATGAAGTTGGCGAGATGGCAAAACTCATGTGCCATGACATTGAGTAGGCGATTCTCGTCATCAATAACCTTCTCGGCAAGTTCAATTGATGCATGATGCTTGAATATCTTAATGGGCTGACCGTCTTCCGCCTTGCGTGTCGTTCTAATAGTCTCGCAACGCCAACTCGCTCGCCCAGCCGTTGTATTAAGTGTTTTCGTCCAAACGAGCTTGACGCCGCCTGTGGACTCAGAAAGCTCGGCAATCCTACCATTTGTGATCTCGCGATCGAGTTCGGCTAGAAAGCTCTCGGCGAGGGCATGTTTCCTAGATTCAAATGACTTCTTGGTCTCCTTCTTGGGCTCTTTCTTCGGGCTCGCCTTGCTGGGACTTTTGGTAACCGGGGGAAGGATGAGCTTGCGTGGCGAGTGCTGGTCGTTCCAATCGTTAACAAAGTCCTGGTTCCAAAAGGCATCCATACTTGGACGGTGTGGCGTTTTAGGGATCTGTATTTTCTTGCTTGGTGATGCAAGCCCTCTTGGCTTGGGTGCTTTAGGAGGAGTACTGGGTGGTGTGGTGAACTCGTCTGTCTTCAATACTCTGCTCTCCTCATCTGAGAAGTCCTCAAGCTGTAGCCGCAGCTTAGATAATGTGTCTGCAAGATCCGAGGTGGTGGTCGTCTCCGAAGTAAGCCGTTTACCACTTGGGCTGGTCTTCCTGGACCAAGCACCCTCTTTACTTGAAGTAGTATTCTTGGTAATATCGTGAGTTTTTTCATTGCTAGTATTCGAAGAGGGGTTTGGTTGAAGAGTTGGAGGATTCTTGATTGATGGGATACGCTCCCTGGTGCCAACTGTCTTTGACGGCTGGCTACTCAAGGATCTTGCCCCTCTTCTTGTCGGGGGCTCAGGGGTGTCATTCAACCAGTCCGACTCCGAGGCAGAGCCAGAATGCTCGTCTGCAGTTTGATAGATACTTGGCTCTTCTGCTTTCTTGTTCTCCTGGCTCACTTCGCTTTCAGCATCGCTATCGATCCCTCGTGCAAAAAGCAATGCTTTTGACTTGGTCCCAGAATGAATACTTGGTATCGGTTCCCGAGTCTCCAGAGTAGGTGTTGCCACCTTAGTTGTATTTATTTTCTGAAGACGTCGGACTCTTGTCAAGACTGTTTCCTTTTCGGATTCATAGTTCTCATCACTCTCGTCATCAGAATCTTGCACAACCCTCTGGTTTCTCTTCCTTCTTGGCTGTTGTCGCGACTGCGGCAAGTCCTTCTCAGTGTCAGAGCCACAATCGGATTCTGAATATGAGGAAAGTTTGTCGGCTTCAGTCGTTTGTCGTGATGGCTTCTTCTCATAACTTGCAATCCTTGACTTACTCCGTCGACTACTTCGAGTGCTTTTCTGTTCTTCTGAGTTCCATTTCTGGAAGAGCGGGTTGGCGGCGGTTTGTTTTGACTCTCCAAGACGACGCACACGTCGGGTTTCAACATTGGAAGCAGTCTTAGGAATCGTAGGCTTGCTGACTGAAGGCGCTGGCGTAGTTGTCTTTGGTGCTCGGGAGCGTGGTTGCCGAATAAGCGTTTTCAGATCAGGTAGGTCATCGTCACTGGAGGGATAAATATCTGCCAGTCTTGCCATGGTGGATGTGTTGAGTCGCAGGTGAAGAGGGTAAAGCTATGGCATATGCTGGTCGAGGGTGTGTTTCTTGCGTTGTCACTGGCATGCGGGTATATAGGGTGATACTTTTCGGTAGATGATGCTTTGATAGGTATGCGATGACCTGGAGACAATAACTTTAAAGGCATAAAGCGGTTTAGCTTGATTGCATGATGGCTGCAGTAAGATTTGAATCTTCTATCAAGATTCGGAACTCAAAGTAAAGAACCATGGTGTTGGCACAGCAACAGACCCATACTGGAATGTGGGATCGCGAGTCCACGTGACGTCCACCAACTTCTGTAATGTCTCCATTACGAAACATGCAAAACACGGGCTCACGATGAATAATTGTTTGATGGGCTGGTGCCCGATGTATCCGTGGTTCGTAATGTGAGACATACTGGTATTTCATGCCTACAAAGTATCGAATTAACTAAGCGGCTTCGTCCACAATTCTAGAACACGAAGCTAGGATTGACAATTTAATATCGGAATGAGAAGCCCGAGCCGGAGGAGCGGGAATCAACTTGACGTGCTTATTTTTGGTGCTCGCTTGGGTCGTAGTCCCTTGGCAAATTGTCAATGACAGTTGCTGAGACCTGAGCGGCGACGAATGGGGTATAGGTTAACCCATGAGATTTCACGTTAGTAATTATTCAACTCAGCTCATTGCTTCCTGCTATGTGAAACATATCCTTCAGGCAGAAACATGACATATTTTTAATTCAGTTGAAAAGTGGAAGCCATGACGAAGAAACAAAGCGGTGCGAGGCTAACTAACGAACTGGACGTGACTCCATTGCCGGACTGTTTGAAGCGCCAACGGGTGGGAACATGAAGAAAAAAAGGAGGTGGCCATTTGCCAAAAGTTGCTAATCACTTCGGCTGGTCGGTCAATGATAGAGCTCACTCCGTGAGTCCATGCGGTGATCATCAATCGGCTGTCGATAGGTCATTATTAGCTGGCTCGGTACAGCAGCCGTGTCGCTGTGCGTGTCACATTGCTGATGGTCATCTACGGCCAGGATCATCATGTTTATTGAACCAACCTGCAGGTCAATCACGGTCTATCGTCGATATCAACAAGCAGCACAAGCAGCACCTCTATAACCCATGCATGACAATTTATTTATACCTGGCCAATTTCGTCCCCAGCTACTGCTAGTCAACGGGTGGCGGGACGCCGGCTTACCTTGACAACAGAAACTTGAATATTTCGGAGCAGTTCCCCTAAGAATCCTCAACATCAAACCTGTCGCAACAAGACGATTCCCTTCTAGCGTGGTGGACACGGGCCTGTTGAACCAGTTTGGGATAGGGAAATTGGACTAACTGCAAAGTTTATCCTTTAGCACAGCAGATGGGGAATAGAGAGAAGAAGAAAAAAATTGAAGCAGAACCACAGCTTTCTATGGAGAGACTTGGGGGGGATCGATGATCGTGTTGGATCGTGTCGGTGTCTGAAGCTTCCCAGGGATAACCTTGTAAGGGAGCTGCTGTTTGGGCCGGCGTATCACATAGGCCGCGTACAGCGTCGTCATCGATTGTATGGATGTATGTAATTATGGTGCTGACGGGACGGGATGAAAAAAAGAGCGAGCTCATTGTGGCAGTGTCACAGCGGGAAGAGAACAACTGAGCACTCACTCACACATTCAATTGAGTTGCCATCGGCTATTTCTTTTTACGGAACTTACCTAGGGAACCTCCTTTTAATTAAACGCTGCATGCTTATCTCGTGTGAAGGAGCTGTTTTCGTTGCTCTCTCCCACGAAAATGCGTGACGCAGGATCTGTTCCTGCATGATGAATGGGTACGGTGCAGGGCCAGAGGGCATCCACTGACTTTTCTCCCCAATTTCTAAGCGGCCTTGCTTATCAATGTCCTCTGTCTACTGCTCCGTAATTACCGGCACAACAATCGAGATTGCATCGTTAAGGCTGAAACAATTTCAACAAAGATTAGCACGAGATCAAAAGATAATGAATGACTTTATCCATGTTTGATAGGTTTGCAATAAGTGGAAGAGCCAAGGGTAAGGAAGCATGAATTGAGGTACCAGCCATCCCATCATCTGATAGTGACGAGCAGGGTACGTGCATATTCAGTTCGAGGACACGGTTACGCAGCAGTTCAAGTTTTTCCCGCCAGAGGATTCGACGAACCAGCTGAAGCTTCTCGAAGTCCTTTACTTACGGCTGTGGCCGCAGCCGTGACGGGTACCAGCAGCTCGCAGGCATAGACACGTGTACGTGTAGCTTGATAACAGCTTCGTTCCATTTACTGGTGAATCTCAAACCTGGAAATCATCCAAGATATGCAGACATACACAGAATTTCCTTGATCTATGCATCCTCTGCCTTGCTTGATATCGCGGTAGGGGAACAGTCAATAACTCAGCCACTCGCTGAATTTAACCTTTGGGTGACCAACTGCAACCTTCAACTATGCCACTGTAACACAACTAACTAAGGTAGACTAACCCCATGCTTGAGGCAAAAAACCAAGCAGTTTGGCTGGTGGTGGCCTTGATGCCTTAGGTGTTATGCTTCTCATTTAGATAACCTTTTGCCTTTCTGTTAAAGCAATTGTATCAGTGAGTGAGAATGAGGCATTGCCAATGCCAACCATAACTCCGGGCCACAGAAAGAAATTTGACTCGAGCTTCGGATGCGCCGTTCAGGGGCGCCGGTGCCCCTCAGTGGACCTTGGAGGCTTCATCCAAAAGCCCGATTTGCAGCAAGCACTTGTCAGGCCCACAAAGGAGTGACTCCGTACCAATGACGACGCGTGGCTGGCTATTTCTGAACAGTACTTTAAAGGTACGAGCTCGTCAAGGTTCCGCCTCATGGGTCTTATGCAGGCGAGCCTCCAGAAGCAAACACCTTGCAGCGGAATGGGAGCAGAACAAGGCCAGCTGAGATATTGCCGCAACATGTATCCATCGGGTACTCACTCCCATTACAGAGAGAATGTTGAACTGCAGCACATCCATCCGAGGAATCCGCCTGCCATTCTCTCAATCAGAGTCCAAACTGGCCAACCCCCTCCAGAGACAGAGACCCAACCACCCCTGTAATCACCAATCAAGACCCGTATCCCCTGGCACTCCTGGTCGGCGCCCCTGGCTTGCACTGCGAGTCGCGGGCGCGGGCCAGCTTTTAGGGGCGATGGCCCTCTCTGATGGGATGGGATGGATGGGTCTATCGAGAGGAAAGCAAGGAACGAAAGGGGACGACCTGGAAACGGCCCGGACGATCCACTGTTGGAACAGCGCATCACGATGGTTGCTGCGATGGATGGATACCTTGTTATCGCAGTAGAGTAGCTGATGGGACCTGTTAATGCTTAATGTTAGAGAGTTGGACGGTTGTGCTTTTGAATCGAATTGAGTTTCAGCGGTCTTGCCGCTGTGAACTTCGGGCTTAGCGGGTATCACGCCCTGTAAGTCTGAAGCCCAGTGTTAACAGCGTTTTATAGCCAATGGTCCACTTTTCGAGTCGAGATATGCTCTTGGCCATGCTGAGGATTGTAGCTAATTCGCTGATCTGACCAGAAATGGAGCTGCGAGGCTCCTAGAAAACAGTCTCCCTTCTGTTAGTTGCTGCTGATGGATGCATTGTTGCTCCCTCCCTCTCGTTGTGCAGAACTAGCTAGCAGTGGGTGAGTGAGTGGGTGAGTGAATGGATGGTGTTTTTGTTTCCCATCGCACTCTCCCTTCCATTCTCACTCCCACGTTGTTGTGTACGTGCATACTACGTGTCTGCGTTGAATGAATCAAAACATCCAATTCAATCCAAGTTTGTCGCCCAAGCCTTGATCTCTTCTTTCTCCCCCCTCTCAATGTCTTTGGCCACGGCAGAAGGATCACACTTCTGGTAATACATATCACTCACGTCGAATAATTGGAAACTTCTCTCCGTCCATCCATCCATCAATCAGTTCAAGGTGGCTCCCCTGTTATCTTACAGACACACCCTGGTAATTATCCACCCCCTGACTTCGCCCTGGATAACCCGGCGCCGAGACACGCAGCGTTTCTCTCCCTCCCCGTGCGGGTTGGAACTCAAACCACCAAAAACCAACCCTCGTCTTCTCCCCTTTGCTGTTCTTTGCATTACGCATTGCCGACACTCGTTTTACGGCTACGCCAAATCGCTTTGTCTCGCACTCGGACTAACGACGTCGACTTCTCAAGCTGGTGAATCACTCTCCGTGATTGATTCATCTTCTTGAACCCGTATCGACGACGAATCGCATAATTTATTGGTCTTTCTTTCTAGGCCAAGCCACTGCCCGTTCGGCCTTTTTGACGGTTTTTTTGACAACAAACAAACAAACAATCAATATCTTGCAGTGCCGGCCACGCTTGCTCTCCCGCCTGATCCTGATTCACAATCACGCTCGCTGGTCATCCACATGTGTACCACTAGGTGAGTTCTGGTAGCTTGACTGCCCATGAGGTTGTACCCTGTGCTTCGTTCATCCGGCTTCACATCACTGGATGACGTCTACCAGGATAGGACAACCCATGGCGTGGACATGATTCATACGGACAACAACTGACCTTAACTTCTAATAGATAATCAACTTTACGCAACATGTCGGGATATCCAGGCGGTGGTCAACGCGACCAGTACGATGATGGTTATGGCCATCAACAGGGAGGCAACCAGCAACAACACGGTGGAAACACTGACTCCTATTACCAAGACGATCAGTACTACGATCAAGGCTACGATAATCGTGGCCCCAATAATAACAACAACAATAACAACAACCATGACGGCTACTACGACGAATCGTGAGCATCGAGTCCCTCCTTTCGTAGTTATTTCACTAACACAATAGTAGTGGCTACTATAATGCCGACCCGAATAACCCCTACCAGCAGGATGGAGGGTATTACGACGGCCACGATCAATACCAAGATGGATACTACGACAATGGCCAGGGTGGCTACTATGATCAGGACTATGACCGTGGCTACCAAGGCCAAGGAGGCCGTCAGGGCTCTGAGGAAGACTCCGAGACTTTCAGCGACTTTACCATGAGATCGGACATGGCTCGCGCCGCTGAAATGGACTACTACGGCCGGGGCGACGAACGTTACAATAGCTACAACGATGGACAACGTGGCTACCGACCTCCTTCCTCGCAAATCTCGTATGGTGGGAATCGCTCTTCGGGTGCTTCGACCCCTAACTATGGCATGGACTACGGTAATGTTCTCCCTGCTGGTCAGCGATCCCGAGAGCCTTACCCGGCCTGGACTTCGGATGCCCAGATTCCTTTGTCCAAGGAGGAGATTGAGGACATCTTCCTCGACTTGACCTCCAAGTTCGGTTTCCAGCGTGACAGCATGCGCAACATGTACGATCATCTGATGATTCTTCTCGACTCTCGAGCCTCGCGCATGACCCCAAACCAGGCACTTCTCTCGCTTCATGCTGATTACATTGGTGGTGACAACGCCAACTACCGCAAATGGTACTTTGCTGCTCACCTGGACTTGGATGACGCTGTAGGATTCTCCAATGCTCAGGGCAAGGGCTTAAAGCGCAAGAAGAAGGGCGGAAAGAAGAAGAAGAAGGATGCCGAAGCCAATGAGGCCGAGACCCTACAGGAGCTTGAGGGCGATGACAGTCTCGAAGCTGCTGAGTACCGCTGGAAGAGTCGCATGAACAAGATGTCTCAGCATGATCGGGTTCGTCAGATCGCTCTGTACCTACTTTGCTGGGGTGAAGCCAACCAAGTTCGTTTCATGCCCGAGTGCTTGTGTTTCATCTTCAAGTGTGCGGATGATTACCTCAACTCTCCCGCTTGCCAAGCTCTTGTTGAGCCTGTCGAGGAGTTCACTTACCTTAACAACGTCATTACTCCTCTCTACCAATACTTGAGAGACCAGGGATACGAGATTTCCGACGGCGTGTACGTCCGCCGTGAGCGCGACCACAAGAACATCGTTGGTTATGATGATTGTAACCAGCTATTCTGGTATCCCGAAGGTATTGAGCGCATTGCCCTTCAAGATAAGAGCAAGCTGGTTGATGTGCCTCCTGCTGAGAGATATCTCAAGTTGAAGGATGTCAACTGGAAGAAGTGCTTTTTCAAGACTTACAAGGAGTCTCGTTCTTGGTTCCATCTTCTCGTCAACTTCAACCGTATTTGGATCATTCATTTGACCATGTTCTGGTTCTACACCTCCCATAACGCTCCCAGTCTTCTGGTCGGACCAAAGTACGAACAGCAGGTTAACCAGAAGCCCTCAACGGCTAAACAATTCTCTATTGTCGGTTTTGGTGGTGCCATTGCATCGCTTATCCAGGTTCTCGCTACTCTTGCGGAATGGGCTTATGTTCCTCGTCGATGGGCTGGTGCGCAGCATCTCACCAAGCGACTCCTGTTCCTGCTCTTTATCTTGGTTCTCAACGTCGCTCCTGGTGTAAAGGTTTTCATGTTGCCAAAACTTGGCCCTGAGAAGATCAACACCGCCATTGGTATCGTTCACTTCATCATTGCTGTCATCACTTTCATTTTCTTCTCTATCATGCCCCTTGGAGGTCTATTCGGCAGCTACCTGTCTACCAATAGCAGACGCTACGTTGCTAGTCAGACATTCACTGCTAGCTGGCCAAGACTCCGTGGCAATGACATGGCAATGTCCTATGGTTTGTGGGCAACAGTATTTGGTGTGAAGATGGGTGTCTCGTACACTTACCTGATTCTTTCGTTCCGTGATCCCATCCGATACTTGAGCATCATGAACGTTGACTCTTGCCTGGGCGACAAGACCCTCCTTGGCAATCAACTTTGCCGCTGGCACCCGACAATTGTCCTCGCCCTGATGGCATTCACTGACGTTATCTTCTTCTTCCTCGATACTTACCTTTGGTATGTCTTGCTGAATACCGTCTTCTCGGTTTCACGATCGTTCTATATCGGATCCTCCATCTGGACACCTTGGCGTAACATCTTCTCTCGCCTTCCTAAGCGTGTTTACTCCAAGGTTCTAGCAACGACGGACATGGAGATCAAGTATAAACCAAAGGTTCTTATTTCTCAGATTTGGAACGCCATCGTTATTTCGATGTACCGTGAGCATCTTCTTGCGATCGAACACGTTCAGAAGCTTCTTTATCATCAGGTTCCTTCTGAGCAGGAGGGCAAGCGAACGCTTCGTGCACCTACTTTCTTCATTTCTCAGGAAGATCACTCTTTCAAGACCGAGTTCTTCCCTGCCTACAGTGAAGCTGAACGCCGAATTTCGTTCTTTGCGCAATCTCTATCGACTCCCATTCCTGAGCCTCTGCCTGTTGACAACATGCCTACCTTTACGGTCATGATTCCCCACTACAGCGAGAAGATCCTTCTTTCTCTCCGTGAAATCATTCGCGAGGATGAGCCTTACTCTCGCGTTACCCTCCTGGAGTATCTCAAGCAGCTGCACCCTCACGAGTGGGACTGCTTTGTCAAAGATACCAAGATTTTGGCCGACGAAACCTCACAATACAACGGTGAGACGGATAAGAACGAGAAGGATACCGCCAAGAGCAAGATCGACGATCTTCCCTTCTACTGCATTGGTTTCAAGTCTTCCGCACCCGAGTACACCCTCCGCACTCGTATCTGGGCGTCTCTTCGTTTCCAAACCCTATACCGCACCATCTCTGGTTTCATGAACTACAGCCGTGCCATCAAACTCCTCTACCGTGTCGAGAATCCCGAGGTTGTGCAGATGTTCGGTGGTAACACAGACAAGCTCGAACGTGAGCTTGAGCGTATGGCTCGTCGCAAGTTCAAGATCGTCGTTTCTATGCAGCGATTCTCTAAGTTCAAGAAAGAAGAGATGGAAAATGCTGAATTCTTGCTCCGCGCCTACCCTGACCTTCAAATTGCCTACTTGGACGAGGAACCCCCGGTTGCTGAAGGAGAAGAGCCCCGACTTTACTCAGTTCTTATCGACGGCCATTCTGAAGTTATGGAGAACGGCATGCGACGCCCCAAGTTCCGTGTTCAACTCTCCGGCAACCCTATCCTCGGTGATGGAAAGTCCGACAACCAAAACCACTCTATCATCTTCTACCGTGGAGAATACATCCAGCTCATCGATGCCAACCAGGACAACTATCTCGAGGAGTGTCTCAAGATTCGCAGCGTTTTGGCCGAATTTGAAGAGATGAAGACTGACAATGTTTCCCCTTACACTCCTGGTGTCAAGAACGACGTTAACTCCCCTGTGGCCATTCTCGGTATGCGAGAATACATTTTCTCTGAGAACATTGGTATTCTTGGAGACATTGCTGCCGGTAAGGAACAGACATTCGGTACTCTCTTCGCTCGAACGATGGCTCAAATCGGCGGTAAACTTCATTACGGTCATCCCGATTTTCTCAACGGTATTTTCATGACAACGCGTGGTGGTGTCTCCAAGGCTCAGAAGGGTCTGCATCTGAACGAGGATATTTACGCTGGTATGACTGCCATCCTTCGTGGTGGACGTATCAAGCAATGTGAATACTTCCAGTGTGGTAAGGGTCGTGATTTGGGTTTCGGTTCCGTCCTCAACTTCACAACCAAGATTGGTACTGGTATGGGTGAACAGTTCTTGTCCCGCGAGTACTACTATCTCGGCACTCAACTTCCTCTCGATCGATTCTTGTCCTTCTACTATGCCCATCCTGGTTTCCATTTGAACAACATGTTCATCATGTTCTCTGTTCAGATGTTCATGATTACGATGGTCAACCTAGGAGCCCTTCGCCATGAGACAAAGGCTTGTGAATACAACCGAAATGTCCCCATCACCGACCCTCTCTACCCTACTGGTTGTGCCAACACTGATGCACTCACCGACTGGATTTACCGATGTATCGTTTCCATTCTTTTCGTTCTCTTCCTCTCTTTCATCCCTCTTATTGTTCAGGAGTTGATGGAGCGTGGCTTCTGGCGCGCCTTCGTCCGATTGATGAAGCAATTCTGCTCGCTCTCGCTCATGTTCGAGGTTTTCGTCTGTCAGATCTATGCGAACTCTGTGCAGCAGAACATTTCGTTCGGTGGTGCGCGATATATTGGTACTGGTCGTGGTTTTGCCACGGCCCGTATTCCTTTCGGTGTCTTGTATTCTCGATTCGCTGGACCAGCTATTTACTTCGGCGCTCGTTTGCTCATGATGCTTCTCTTCGCGACCCTTACTGTCTGGAAGGGTGTGTTGATCTATTTCTGGATCACACTTCTTGCTCTGACAATCTCGCCCTTCTTGTACAACCCTCACCAGTTCGCATGGACTGATTTCTTCATCGACTACCGAGATTACCTCCGATGGTTGTCCCGTGGTAACTCCCGAAGCCACGCCTCGTCTTGGATCTCCTACTGTCGTTTGTCTCGAACTCGTCTCACTGGTTACAAGCGAAAGGCTCTAGGAGATCCCTCTGCTAAGATGTCTGCAGACGTTCCCCGAGCTCCGTTTGCCAACATCTTTTTCAGCGAGATTTTCTCTCCCCTGATGCTTGCCGTTGTCACGATTCTGCCTTATCTGTTCATTAACGCCCAAACTGGTGTCAAAAATGCCCCTCAGAAGGACAGCGTCAAGACCAAGCCCCAGCCAACCGACTCTCTGATCCGGCTACTTATCATTGCCTTTGCTCCCATTGGTGTTAACGCAGGTGTCTTGGCTGCTATGTTCGGCATGGCCTGCTGTATGGGTCCTCTCCTCAGCATGTGCTGCAAGAAGTTCGGTAGTGTTCTCGCCGGTATTGCTCACGCTACTGCCGTCATCTTCTTGCTGATCTCCTTCCTGGGTATGTTTGTTCTCGAGGGCTTCAACTTTACCCGCACATTGGCTGGCATGATCGCCGTGACTTGCATCCAGCGCTTTTTCGTCAAGCTCATTGTGTCTCTTGCCCTTACCCGTGAATTCAAGGGTGACACTGCCAACATTGCTTTCTGGACCGGAAAGTGGTACTCCATGGGATGGCACACCATCTCTCAGCCTGCTCGAGAATTCCTCTGCAAGATCACCGAATTATCCATGTTCGCAGCCGATTTCGTTTTGGGTCATTGGTTGCTCTTTTTCATGGCACCTGTTATTTTGATTCCCAAGATTGACATGCTCCACTCGATGATGCTGTTCTGGCTTCGCCCAAGGTATGTCTTATCCTTTGCTTCTTGTGTTTTGAATTTGTCCTAACCTCGGAGCAGTCGCCAAATCCGACCTCCCATCTACTCGATGAAACAATCCAAGCTCAGACGCAGACGTGTGGTCCGTTACGCCATTCTCTACTTCACGCTTCTCGTCGTTTTCATCGCTTTGATTGCTGGCCCTATTGTGGCTGGCAAGTACATGCCACCCGACACGATCAGCAATGCCCTCGGTGATATTGCCGGCTTCAGACTCTACCAGCCTAACGATCTTAATAACGACAACACCAACAGCACTATGGCTACTGGTACAGGAATGCAAGGCTACACCGGTGCTGGCCTTACGAAGACCAAGACTGGCGCTGATGCCTCGGCAACTGGCAAGATCAAGCTGTTCTAGGTGGGAATATCTAGACAGCTCCCGTTGGAGGTGCCTTGCACCCCTAGCTTGTTTCTGCTGACAGAAAAATTGTGGAAATGCGAAGTTTTTGTTTTTTGCTTGTTTTTGTTTTCAGTTCAGCAGTTTGAGTGGATGCACGTGCATACATAGGTTGAAGTTTTATAGAAGACGGTGGGAGGGAGATGGGAGAGAAACAGGAGGAGGAGGGGGAGGTTGGCATAAGTCAGACCTGACATTCACTGGCTGAACTGGACTGATCTTTTTTGGTACAAGGCGCACTTCTTTTTTAAACTATTATAATGTGTACAATGAAAGGAAGAAACACATCCATGGCAGAAACTCTAGACCTAAATGCAAATAATGCCTTTTGAACATTCCTTTCAGTTCATTCTTGCTACTAGCCTACGCTCTCTATAGACACCAAACATTGTAAGAGGGATACTCTACTGTACTGCCTACAAAGCTTCCATTGTGATTTTGGTTGGTGTCTTTCGATCCAGTGTGTAAGCCAATTTTACGTATTCCTCTTGCCCGGGCTATCCGATGACTCCTACACTTCCCCTGTAGTGGATGGCCTGTGGTCTTATTGTTTCTGACCTTCAGGTACCCGTTGAACCCCTGTTAGATATGGATCCTTAGCACAGCCAATCAGCCTGCGGTCCGCGGCTCGACTCGCTTCAACGTTAGAGGACGAGACTCTGGAGGCCCCTTTGTAGACCCATGTACCTACTAATGACGGACGGACCTTGACTTGACAATTCTGAATCCTCGGTTGACGTCCATTTCAACTCCTTTCAACAACACACTTCCGCTCCAAACTAATATATACTCTCACGACCGGCCGAGACGCGACGCGAGATCGATAGAAGTTGACGTAACCATTCAAGACCATTGGAACAGAAGAAAAAGATGGAACTCGATGCCCTCCAAGCCCAGGTGGGCGAAATCCTCGAACAGGCCGCCGTATACTTCCATAAAGTCCCTGGTTCTGCAGTATTTATGCGCTACATCCAGTCGAGTTATCAGAACGACCCCGTGCGATCCGCCATTGAACTTGTGCTGCTTCTCTTCTTTATCCGCTATCTCCTGTCGCCTTCTTACTCGACCCGTAAGCAGAATTACATCAAGCTGAGAGAGGAGGTGAGAACACGGCCAGATCCTTAATTCCCACATGATTGAAGTCGCTAATATTCGGGTTCTTTGTAGGAAATTGAGGAACTGATCGATGAATGGCAGCCTGAGCCTCTCGTCGTCGAGCAGACTCCATTTGAGGTTACTGAAGCCGAACGCCTTCCTGTCCTCGTTGGGTGAGCATCATCAAGTCTAATCGCATCCGCAAACTAGTCAGGATCAGCATCTGATATTCCTATAGCCCTACTGGTCCCAAGACTAAACTCGCCAACGGCCGAACTGTTACCAATCTCGCATCATACAACTTCTACAACTTCAACGGAAATGATCAGATTAAGGACAAGGCTATTCAGGTTCTACGCACCTATGGTGTTGGCCCTTGCGGCCCTCCCCAGTTCTACGGTACCCAGGACGTTCACATGAAGACTGAAGCCGACATTGCCGCGTATCTGGGCACCGAAGGCTGCATCGTCTACGCTCAATCCTTCAGCACTATCTCTAGTGTCATTCCCTCTTTTTCCAAGCGTGGTGACGTTATCATCGCTGATCGTAATGTCAACTTCGCTATTCGCAAAGGTCTCGAGCAATCGCGAAGCACCATCCGCTGGTACGAACACAACGACATGGATGCTTTGGAAGACGCTATGAAGGCTGTCGCCCGGGAGCAGGCCAATGCCAGAAAACTTACCCGTCGTTTTGTCGTAACTGAAGGCTTGTTTGAGCTCTCTGGGGATTCTATCGATTTGCCCCGCCTGGTTGAGCTTAAAGAGAAGTACAAGTTCCGCGTTATTCTAGATGAAACCTGGTCTTTTGGTGTTCTCGGCCGTACCGGTCGTGGTATTACTGAGGCGCAAAACGTGGATCCCCAACAAGTTGACATGATCATCGGTTCCCTCGCTGGACCTCTCTGTGCCGGTGGTGGCTTCTGTGCTGGTCCCAAGGATGTGGTCGAGCACCAGCGCATCACATCCTCTGCGTATACATTCTCTGCCGCTCTCCCTGCCATGTTGGCTGTCACCGCCAGTGAGACCCTCAACCTACTGCAGTGTAACCCCGAAATCCTGGCGCAGTCTCGCGAGAATATCAAGGCTATGAGGGCTCAATTGGATCCCCGCAGTGATTGGGTTTACAGCCCAAGCGACCCCGAGAACCCTATTATGCTCCTTGTCCTCAAGCCCGAAGTTGTGGCTGCCCGTAAGCTCGGATTGGAAGATCAAGAACGCATCTTTCTGGACTGTGTGGAAGAGGTGCGTGCATCGAACACTGAAACATGAACGAATATAAAATGAGCTGACTCCTGAATAGACTCTTGCCAACGGCGTCTTGATCACAAGAACCAAGACTAGGCCTTATGCACACGCTGTCAAGCCCAAGGACGGCGCATGGTTTGCCCAGCCTGCTCTTCGAATTTGCGTTACATCAGCACTGTCTAAGAAGGATATTGAGAAGGCCGGTGTGACTATTCGACATGCTATCACCAAGGTCATGACACGAAAGACGAGCACCAAGACCGCCTGATTCAGGGGCTTAACAGATGATAATTTTGATGACAGACAGAGGCTGGCTGAATGCATGTTATACAGCTGAGCATAGTCCATAAGGCGTCGGGCTACACTGAGACCCTTTTTATTATGGATAATCAGCAAACGCAATAGACGAGGGGCAATATGGAACGATTTACAAAGTGGCTGGCAGCCATTTAACAAACTAATGATTAATAGATGCGGCCCTCGTACGCCAGCATTGAATGGAAGTTTCCCGATATAATGGTTTTGTGTCTTTGTGGGCGCCGTGAATACATGTTGATTGATCGGTTTCAGAATCATGGTGTTGAAACCGATGAGGGATATCAAGGCATTTTTCTGCTTCAGTTACTCAGAGTTGATGAAGTCGTCTCTGCCAAGTTACTGTTTTCGAACTTAAAAAAATTATGCGAGGTAGAGAAGCAGACGTCAGCTGTCTCGTGGATTTTATGAGCCATCCCTTGCCAAGTCACGCCCGATGGTGCCAGCTTACATCACGGCCTCTAATCTGACAACAGAATCACAAAGGACGCACATGCAAAAGAAGGATCACAATTGGCAGAGCCGTAGCCTCAGTTTCACAGTTTATTTTTACCGGACGGGTGAGGAACCTTTTCAGCTCTCAACAGGACTTTGGGCATGTCTCAGACGCTGCATTCCTTGGGAGATTACAGGTCTCGAAAGTACGCGCCATGCAAAGAAATCCCCTCATTCCAAGAGTCGCGAGCGTCGTGTCCTCTATTTGTGATTCATTTTTAAGGTTTATGTTTTCGGGCAGCTTGGGCTGTTGAGTTCCATGATCCGAGTGAGTTTCTGCGTTCATGTGTCTCATATTCTGGGAGCGGGCTTAAGTGTGAATAGGGAGAACAAGGGATGGAGTCTTATAGCTAAGGCAAAGCCCAGCCAATGGGACTTGGGATCTCGGGATGAAACTCACGGACTGAATAGAAAGGAATTACGGGGTGAGGAGTGTCTCACTTGTCTCTTACCTTAAGCTCAACACTTACGAACGGTCAGGTACTAAGGTACCTAACCTTGGGTACCTTACCTTGAGGTAGGAAGGCAGGCTCAACACGTGTCTTACCTTAGGTACGTTGCCGAGTGCTGTGTCGTTCCTTCTTGGGTTGTTTTCTTTTGCTTATCATTGTAGAGAGGCCCCTTCCTCCCTTGTTTTTGACGTCTCCTCGTTTTCTACCTCTTACCTCTCTCTCTCTACCTTCGCTCTCACAATCTTCTTCTTCATTCATTCCTTCATTCACTCCTACAATCGTTTTTCTTTTCTTTTCTTTTCTTTTCCTACCTACAATCACTTCCTAAGATTCGTCTTTCTTTGATTCTTCTTTTCAGTTCTATACACACTCTTTTCATCTGAATCCTATTCATTCTTGGATAGCGGGTTATTAAGTCCCGTCTTATACACTGATTTTCTCAAACCACCGACCTTTAAAACCACTATTTGAGCTCGTTGTAGCAGCTCGTTGTAGCAGCTCGTTCACTCTCTAACAACTCTCCAAACTACCAACCTACGTACGGTTTATTATAAAATAGTTAACAAAATGTCGATGAAACGTTTCTTCACTTCGGCGGTTGCCATGGCGGCGGTTGTTGCTGCTGTTCCTGTTGGTGAGTATTCCCCTGACCAGGCTGTAACTCGAAGCTGACAATACCAACAGCCCGTCCGCTCGAGAAGCGAGGACCGTATGCTTCTCTCGTGACATAAAACCGCGATGTTGGCTGACAAGATTGCAGTGTTACGACTATTACTCTGACTTCGGCCTCTACTTACACCGCAACTATCGTTCCTGCTACCCCTGTCACTCCTACAGGAACTGCAACCTATCCAGAACCTACAGCTCCTGTCCCTGGTAGCGGTGGCGGCTCATCCGGTTCTAAGCTCCCTGGTGTCGCATATGCCCCCTACCAAGGCGATCACCAGTGCAAATCCAAGGACGAGATCCAGCAAGATATTACGCAGCTCGCTACTGATTTTTCAGTCCTTCGTATCTACGGCACAGACTGCGACCAGGTCGCCAATGTCTACTCATGCGCCAAGGGTAGCGGCATGAAGCTGTTCCTCGGTATCTGGAACATTGACGACGTTCAAACTGAGGCCAAGACCATTATCAGTGCAATTGACGACTGGGACGTCGTTGACACCATCAGCGTTGGTAATGAACTTGTCAACAATGGAGCTGCCACCCCAGCAAAGGTCATCGCCGCTGTCAAGCAGGCTCGTGAGATCTTCCGTGCCGCTGGCTACCAAGGTCCTGTTGTCACAGTCGATACATTTATTGCTGCCAATGCCAACCCTGAACTTTGCAACGAGAGTGACTACTGTGCTATCAACGCTCACGCTTTCTTCGATGCCAACACTTCTGCTGATGAAGCTGGCCAGTGGCTCTCTAACACTGTTGAGGACCTTCGATCCAAGATTTCTGGCGACAAGCGTATCGTCATTTGCGAGACTGGCTGGCCCACCAAGGGCAATAGCAACGGCAAGGCTGTTCCCGGTATGAGCCAACAGAAGGCTGCTCTCGACTCTATCAAGCAGGCATTCTCCAGCCACATGGGAGACCTGATTCTTTTCTCTGCCTTCAATGATCCTTGGAAGAAGGCCGAGGCCGCAACTTTCATGGCCGAGCAATGGTGGGGTATCGAAGGCCAGGACTCAGTTTCCAACAAGGACCCGTCGCCTTCTAACTAGGGGACGGCTCCTCGATTTGTCATGTCAATTAGACCTTCAACTATTTGAATGGTTTGTGGTCACGTTTTTACTCCGAGATAACACTCGGCTTATGTCTTTTCTATGATGTTTAATGTTTTATTGTTATTGCTTGAGGGTTGTTGATGCCGATTATCAGGTGGCCATTGCAAGGCTGTACGAGCCTATCATCTTGGGAGGCATGTTGGAGGTTTGTCCGTTTTTCTATTCAGGCTTCAACTACCTCATCACATCACCTCGCTTTATGGCTGCTCTTTTAGAGATAAGAAAAGAATTACACTTAGTATTTGTTATTTGAATTGAATGCCCGTTATACAATTTGAACCTGTGGTTCATTCAATGCGTGAAGGTGAATGAGTGGTTTGATCGAAACATGAATATCTGTACATTCATGGTGATTCGAAATTCAAAATACAATCGAGCTCAAGAAACACCCTGATGGATTGCCTAGGCGTATAACTATAGAGAATGATGTCCAGCAGCCACTGTGCCTCGCATTGATGGTTTCGTTACTCATGAAAACGATACCCAATACACCCCAAGCGAGCCCAATAATTCCCTCATAATGCATAAACCATGACAAAATATGTATCTTTGCAATATAGCAGCTTTTGGCCCAAGTGGCTCTACCATTGGCAAGCGGATTCGGATTCTACAATTGCTGCAATGCAGCTCGAGATTTTAACCAGTTTGTCCAAGGCTGGCAAATGCTGTGAATGACGAGCACATTGTTAAATAGGACGTAACAACAAGGTTTGAGGCGCAATGCGGAGAAGGGGACGTAGGATGTAGACCAGATGATGGAGATAAAGACCCAACGCATCAGACGAGGAGGTGAACACGCAATGACTTTGCTTCTCCGTCATAAGGTAAAAAGAAAAAAGAAAATAAAGCATAGATCTCAGATCGTCCAGATGCCATACCGAGCTCAAGATCAGTCACCTCAAATGATGGAGATGTCTCAAAAGATCCGTGCTGGGATCAAGATCGTCAAACACGCACCCATCAAGCGACCCTGCGTATTTCAGCAGCAGGCGCGACGGGATGAGTTTAGCAGATCCAAAGTTCGTCAAGAAATTGGTCGAGTTCGATGATGCGAAATCTGGAGCCTATGCTCTGGTCCTTCGGAAGACTAGTCCAAGCAGAAGAAAGACTGGCTTTCCAAGAAACAACCTCAACGCTCCAACCCATTTTCAGAGCGCGTTGAGCTTGTGTCAGGAAGCCGTCTGAATACTTGGCTGGCCGAGCATCACCAGTAGCGATGACGAGCGTGCCAGGCTCCTCGAAATACTGCATAACAGACTCGCTGATTCTAATCTGGAGGGTTTCGTCAACCATGTCTTCGACATAGCGGAAACCGCCGGCTTCGAACGCGTTGTGGTCATCAGCACCGGATTGCTCAGGGCGACGACTGCGAAGGTCGACGCGGTAGCCAAGATCCTTGAGTTCTTGGACAAAAGTGGGCTCGTTGCGGTTGGGACGCACAGAGCAGCCAACATTGAGCCATTCCGCGTATCGATCGCGGGTAAGAAGTTCATGAAAGAAGGCAAGGTTCATTTGTGGAAGTGGAACAAAGCGTGAGGACTCTGGCAAACCAAATCTGGCTCTTAGAGCCTTTTGGAATCCAATGATGATGTTGGACATGTCGACAAAGACATGAATTCCATTTTCTGCAATGGTGGGATAATCCTTGCAGATCACAGAGTCTATAACCCGCTCATGAACGAGCTTTCCCATAAGGCCCTCATGCTTGACCACCGTGGTCTGCACGTTACTGTGAATCTCAGTAAGGGGGCCATATTTGAAATGCTGATATGAGATAACATGTCTGACATGGTCCGAATGACTGCCAGCCAGGATCACAATGTTGGGTTCAGAGCTATCTCTGGAATGAGATTTGGTCTTGCCCGAATTTGAATCTTTCTTGTTCTTTTTGGTTTCGTCAAAATGCTTAAGCGGAGACTCGCTTGAGCTTGGTGGTGTTGAGGCAGCGGTTGAGTAAGACGTGGCAGGCAGCACATCAGTGTCAGAACCACATCCAGCTTCTGAGTCGGTAATAGGGTCTAAGTTGGGCTGGTTTGATTTGAGGAATTCATCCTTATCTTCCTGGTATATCTTTTCCTTCAGAACAGTCTCTTTCGTAATTCGAATAGCCTTTCCAGTTCGCTTCTCGTGAATTTCACCTGCCATCTTTATGCAACGGATACGGCCTTCAGGGCTCTGGTCCGGCTGCCTCAAGGCGGCAATGTATGCTTGCTCCTGATTCTCTTGATGGGAATGTTTAGGCACAGCCGAGGGTTTAGGGACGATGTCTGCATTGTCGGTGGATTGCGGTACAGAAGGTCGCTGTAATATCGTGATCGGCTGTACCTTTGGGGAAGCCAATGGCTTTCGCTGCTGTTTTGATAATTCATTGTCATTGAGACGAATTTGCTGGAAGAGCCGTTTGAAGTTTCCAAGGGATGGGGTTGAGTCAGAGGCCTTTGTATTTTTCGGAGAGGCCCAGCCTGTGAGACTGTTGGAGCTCAGCTTGGTGAAGTCACCAAGCTTGAGTCTACTGTCATGTGCAGCATGGCCTGCAGGCTTGCTGCTACCCGGCGGCTCGCGAAGGGGATCGTCTGTTGAGTTTGTCGTTGATGCCATAATAATCATCAAAAGCGACTACGCACATAGATGCGAGTTGGTGGTTATATATCAAGTTGGTGAGCTGCTCGACGCCAATGCCAGACGTAAGAGGATTGCTGGAGCGTTTTCCAAGTATCGACCAATGACGCCAGTGAAATGAATTATCCAAAGTTGCAACTGCAATTTGCTAGGACTGCAGAAAATGGCAAAGCCAACAAGATATGAGAGAGCGATTTGCCACAACTGAGAATCTAGAATCGCCGCAGAAGCAAGACCTAGAATGAGCTGAAACAAAAACGGACGTCGCGTAGTTTAGTAGAAGAGGGAGCTCGAAAAGGCCAAACACAGTCTGGAATGAGTCAAAGGGCAGATCCAATGCGTCAGATTTTGCCGCTTTGATGAAGCCAAGTGAGATCAAGTGCGGAGATCGAGCTACCAGAATATCATGAGGTCACAAGAAGGGAAAAGGGTGAACTCAGACAAGGGCGTGTTAAGTAGGAGAGGAAATCGAAGACGGAGAACAAAAAATATAAGAGAGAACAGTTGCGCAAAGAATCGAGTCAAGAACAAGAATCGAAATATAGGGAACAAGGAAATACGAACGTTAAGAAGCGTTGACGAAGAATGGATGAGATGAGATGAGATGAATGATGAGTCAATTCACCTTGAGCTGAGGCTTACTACCTTAGTACCTTTGGGTGGCTTTCCGGGATCCGGAATGGCATGTTCCCGGCCAATCAGATCGCGACATATGTGGTCCAAGGGTCCTATAACTCTCACGTGTTTATTGCCACCCCAAACGTCGATCCTCAAGTGGCTGAACATATCTTATACTCGCGATGACAACAGTACGACATGAAGCGAATCCAGAGATATTGTGTTTACCATCATCACTTCACAGCATTTAGCGACTTGCCATAGAGCAAAGATTTCGTCAAATTTTCTATCTCTGCTTCTCACATTGTGTCCATCCTTTAAGTTCATATGTACCAGATGCATTCATCCCTCTGAACAACCGTGCCCTACATGAAGTGAGAATGGAAATCTTGAATCCTGCTCATGCTCAACATTTCGAAGAACATGTGCACGAACAACAAGTTTGCGAATACTGCCTGATTCGCAAATTGACATAATCCGAAGCTGCTCCTGTCCCATCGAACTAACTTCTTGTATCTTTGATATAGCCTGTTTCGTTTTTTCTTTCATTCTTTCCAAGACTTGCGTAATGATGTCCATAGCTAAGCTCCATTGCCATCACCTTCGGAAATCGATACTAGCTCGAGATGAGTCCAGGCTAGGCCGCACTGAGCTGCTTGAGCTTCGTCTTCGTCTCGCTCGCTGTTCGTTGGGGTCGGAAGGGTGCAAACCAGTCGACTTCGCAAACATGTTCAGTACATCAGTCAACGAGATAACACCAGTAAGCCTCCCGGAAAGACGAGCCCCGGCCATGGCCGATGCGGGCACAGCAGCTGTAGGGACTGGAGAAGCAGGCACTGCTGCTGTTGGGACAGGCGATGGGGGTGCAGGCGCCGATACGGGTGCAGCAGGAGGTGGAGGGCCGGCGGTTGTGAAAGATTGGGGCCCCATCAGAGGTGTTGCAGGAGCTGAAGGGGAGGGTGACGCCGATTCAACCACCCACATTCGATGCGATCGAGTAGCAACGAGCTTGGCAACGGTATGGGCCAGAGTCGAGTAGGGGTTCACGTAGAATACGGGAAAGACGTCACGTCCGTGTTCAACTCCTCGCTCGTTGAGAATCACAGAAATAAAGTTCATGCATGACGAATTGAGTAAATGGGCGTTGGAACTCTTGGTTAAGTGGCGGACGTCTTTGGTGGAGATGTTGCCCACCACATTCATACCGTTATCAACAACTGCAACGCTTGTAAGCCCTTCATTGCTCATAAGCGTGAGTGCTTCAGATAAGGGTGAATCGGAGCTATGGCCTGTTAACACGTATCATCCTGAGACGCTATAGAAACTTACTTGACAGAAACAATCTCCTTGGCCCCAACACCCAGATCACGTAGCAAAGCAGGGTAAAGCCGATCGATTGAAGGAAAGTTGACACCCTCGTTCCAGAAAAACTCGACAATTCGAAGTTGACTTGCGATGCCAACCACCTCGCCGCTTGTAGTTGTCACCAACAGACGATGGATGCCACTGCCGAGAATTTGAATAGCCTGTGCGAGCTTTTCGTCACCAGGCAACGTGATGAGTGTTTCCTTGCGGAAAAGAGGGAAGACGTCTCGTAATGGAATCTGGCCACCTTCCTGGGCCTTGGCCAGAATCGAATTGAATAGCTCAACCTGATCTTCCTCGGGTTTGGCGAGACCAACAACAACAAGTAGGTATGCGTTCAGATCGGTATAATCGAACGTGGAGACCGCGATATGGGTGGAGGGATCCTCGCGGACCAGAACAACGTTGGTAGGGCTCTTGAGGAGGAGCTGCGACTTATAGTTAGCATGGCTATCCAGGGCCTGAAAGCGCATATGGGATCGGCTCTGTATTATGTGACAGTCAAAGTTTTAGGCTCACCTTTGTAGCTTCTTCAACGCTGCTATCGAACTCAACCCACTTAACATCATCGGGAGATACAAGCTCTCCGATAGCTACATCACGCCAATCGCGGCCGGCAAATCTGGGGTTAGCATGCTTGTTTCCTGCCGGAGGATGGTTCAGCAACTCCTGGAGAGCGGCCTGTGTAAAAGAAGGGTGCCGTTGAGAGCGTGGTGATGAGGGCGCATTGCGCAAGCCCTCAGCGAAGCTTGCGCGGTGTGCGGATATGGAGCTTGGGCCAGAGCCAGCGGATATAGATACAGAAGGAGATCGCTGAGAAAGAGTAGGTGGTTTATGAGCGGACGAAGAGCCCGAAGCAGCGCTGTTGAGGCTGGTCGAGCTGGTCGCGCGAGTATCCTTGAGCTCGCGGGAGGTTGAGCTCGGTGAGGGGTCCATGGTGGAATCGCTTCGCTTTGGCCAGGTGATGAATTGACTGACTGATTGATAGATCGGACTGGCAATAAGCGATGGATCAACACGACTAGGGCGAACAAAAGAGCGCTGTATGTATTGCAATCGAGCGACAGATGAACAGATAATGGCGAATAGTGATTTGTCGCGACAATTGCAATGATGGAATGATGGATAGTTTGCACAGAGATGGGCGAAGGCGAGGCGAGGCGAGGTGAGACAAGACGGACGTGGGAGTAGACGCGGGGCGCAGGCAGGGGAGGATAAGAGAGTGAGCGAGCGAGCGAGTGAGTGGTTCGAGTTGAATGGATCTCGATATTCAAGTCCAATGTTGGAAAGTGGTTAGAATCAGAGTCAGAGTCAAAGTCACAAACTAAGAAGAATCAGGATACAAAAGATCAGAAGACATTTATTTGCCAAGGACAAGGACAAGGCGATCGATAGATGAGGTGAAGTGAAGTGGAATGGTTTTTTTTCTGCCTCTTGCTGCGGAGGTTGGTCTGGAGATGAGACTTGTCTGCGAGGGGCACGAGGTTACAATCCAAAGCCATGAGTGGGCGGGGGAACGGTTTGCATGATGACATAGGCCGCCCAGAGTAAGGTAAGTTAAAGGTGGGTGATGGTGGAGTGCCCCGCGATGGATGGACTGGACGGGATGGATGAGGTCGGGGACGGGAGCTCAATCTTCAGCGTGGAAACTTACTGATAGAGAAGTAATTCAACCCTGAGAAGGTGGAAGAAACCACCACTAAATAGGTACTACATACATTAATTTCAAATGCTTGGGCATCTGAGCATTCGATTTTCATGCAGCTGTGACTACTATCTAGGAATTGATTTACACCAATATCAGATAACCCATTCCAGCACCTAACCACCCAACCTCACAATCCGGCAGAGCTACTCTGTATCGCAGAAGCTTCTACCATGGCGCGTGGATACCGAAGGTGATGATCATCACTCACTAACGTGGACACGACTAGAGAATGTGGATGTCTTCAAGGAGCTCCCTGGTCCTGCAGTTCGTGATACGTAACTAAACTAAGCTCTGATACGCATGCACAGGTAAAAAGAACAAAAGAGTAATAGGGAACTTGCCAGGGCTTTTATAAGTGCCTTGCTGGTAGATATCGCCATGTTGAATCTCGAAATATCCGTTCTCCAAGATCTTTGTAGAACTTCGACTTGTGTATAAGATCAAGCCGATGAGTCCAATTATGTAAGTCAGCAATACAAAAGTGCTGCTACCATTTGGAAAGCTCGAGCCAATGACCTTATAAGAATTCAAGCTGCTGCAGTTGGCATTTCAAATTGTCAGATGGTGGTGAGTGTATTGGATCCCAAAGTCTTATAAACTTCAGTATTCAACATCATACATATGCTGCAGCTTATCAAATACCCAAACTCAAAACTAATCAGGCCAGAGAAAACGCTTCGTATCAATTTGATAGGTTCAAGAAATGGTTGGCTAAGGTAACTGAGCTGCAGCTGCAATGCATCATGACAAGAAAGAAGATTTCATTGTGCATATTTGATGGATGGAAGCCATCGTTCTTGCGGTGTGGTGGGGCACAGACAAACAACGTATGGATATCAAATAGGTAGGTAAACTTATAATGATAACAAGAGACATTGAGGTTCGATTGCCTCGCCAATTGCTGTTTGGCTCATTTCAATCTTCTTTGTCTATGGTGCTGAATGATCAAAGAGGCGTTCTCCCGGTCCATCTGGCATCAATTATTCTTTGATGACTTCAGACGTTCATATCATGCGCCAACCAGAGACACAACAGTTGAATATTAACTTTACAAGTCCAGACAAGTTTCCATCAGAAGCTTTGGAGGTAATTTCTTAACTTCAACTTGCATAAAGTCAGTCCTAGGTATTGGATGGCTTGATTGCAGCCTGGCAAAAGAGGTAAAAAAATAAACAATAAGTACCAACTACCTTGCCTTACAGAAAAAAACACACTAGTCACGACCTGGTCACCGCGCACCCTTTGTTTTTTTTTTCTTTTGGGCTCAAGTCTGTCGGGTCCCCAAGTACCTCGCCAGCAAAGACTCGCCCGGACGGTACTTATTCACGACCCTCAACTTTGGGCTTCCCCTCCCCCACTTCACTTTCTGCTCCCATTCAGTCCCTCTCTTCTTTCTTCCACACCATTTGGGATCTTTGGAAATCTCGTCCCTTAAAGTGAAGCCACGGCCGACTCAAGCCAACGAACCTCGACGGCTCGTAGCTTTTTCACCCTCTTAGGCTCTTCTTCAAGCAGTACTTCATTATCGCTACTCTTGTCCACATTCTCCGACTGAGACCCAAACTTTCTTTGTCGTCTGCTGGTGGACATCACCATCAGCAACCCTCCACGACCACAACAATGTCTCTGCTCCCACCCGACATCCACGCAGAGCTTTCACAGCTCCTGCAAGCTCTGCAGTCCCCCGACAACAGTATAAGATCGCAAGCCGAGGAGCACCTGCAGAACAACTGGACTGCCACCCGACCTGAGGTCCTGTTGATGGGACTGGCGGAACAGATTCAAGCTGCTGGCGACAATGCGACACGATCCTTTTCCGCTGTAATCTTCCGCCGAATTGCTTCAAAAACCCGCAAGAATGAGTCCGGAGAGACCACAGATCTGTTCATCTCTTTGACCAAGGACCAAGCCGCTGTCATTCGACAAAAGATTCTCGAGACCCTTGCCGCCGAGTCTGAGCGCCTCGTTCGCAACAAAATTAGTGATGCTGTTGCCGAGCTTGCCAGACAATACACCGAGAATGGTAAGCTTTCAGAAGCCCTGAAATGACTCTCCGTATCCTGGACCTTTGTTAACAACTCCTGCAATAGGCGATATTTGGCCCGAACTGCTTGGCGCTCTTTTCCAACTTAGCCAAGCTCCCGAACCAGAGAAGCGAGAGAATGCGTTCCGAGTCTTCGCGACCACTCCCGCCATTATTGAAAAGCAGCATGAGGAGGCCGTTCTTCAAGCTTTTCAGAAGGGCTTCAAAGACGACGCCGTCATGGTACGGCACCCCTCCCGCGGGGCAGACTTTTCTGTCCCACATTGGATATCATGGCTCTGCTAACCACAGCTATAGGTCCGTCTTGCGGCTATGGAGGCTTTTGCTTCATTCTTCAGGACTATTAGCAAGAAGGGACAGGCTAAGTACTACGCCCTTATCCCCGATGTCCTCAACATTCTTCCCCCGATCAAGGATTCTCAGGATTCCGACGACCTCAGCAAGGCGCTCCTTGCTCTCATCGATCTCGCCGAGTCTGCTCCCAAAATGTTCAAGCCTCTCTTCCAGAACCTTGTCCAATTTAGCATTTCAGTGATCCAAGACAAGGAGCTCGAAAACATCTGCCGTCAAAACGCTCTCGAGCTCATGGCCACATTTGCCGATTACGCCCCCTCAGTGTGCCGAAAGGATCCATCCTACACAAACGACATGATCACCCAGTGCTTGAGTCTCATGACGGATCTAGGCGAGGATGACGATGATGCTTCCGAATGGATGGCATCTGACGACGTGAGTTTTCAGAGAATGGCGACACGTAATTCATGTGACTAACTCACCTTGCAGTTTGATCAGGACGAGAGTGACCAGAACCACGTTGCTGGCGAGCAAACCATGGACCGACTTGCGAACAAGCTTGGAGGACAGACCATTCTGGCCCCTACTTTCAACTGGCTTCCTCGTATGATGACTTCCATGGCTTGGAGGGATCGACATGCAGCCCTGATGGCCATCTCTGCCATCTCCGAGGGCTGCCGTGATCTGATGATTGGGGAGCTTAGCCAAGTACTAGATCTAGTGGTTCCCGCTCTCCGGGATCCTCACCCTCGAGTTCGATGGGCTGGCTGCAATGCTCTTGGTCAGATGAGCACTGATTTTGCCCCTAAGATGCAGACCGACTACTACGACCGAGTTCTCAAGGCAATCATTCCTGTCCTTGACTCGCCCGAGGGCCGTGTCAAGTCTCACGCAGCTGCTGCTCTTGTCAACTTCTGTGAGGAGGCTGAGAAGGCCACTCTGGAGCCATATCTGGACGAGCTCCTCTCACATCTTTTCCAGCTCCTTCAAAATGAAAAGCGCTATGTCCAAGAACAAGCTCTGTCGACAATCGCCACCATCGCCGACGCCGCTGAAGCTGCCTTCTCAAAATACTACGATACCCTCATGCCTCTTCTTGTTAATGTTCTCCAGAACCAGAGTGAGAAGGAGTACCGACTTCTGCGTGCCAAGGCTATGGAGTGCGCCACATTGATCGCTCTGGCTGTTGGAAAAGAGCGTCTTGGTCAGGATGCTATGACTCTTGTCAACCTTCTGGCCAACATTCAGGCAAACATTACTGATGCAGACGACCCTCAAGCTCAATACCTCATGCACTGCTGGGGCCGCATGTGTCGTGTTCTCGGTTCCGACTTCCTTCCATTTCTTCACAACGTCATGCCTCCTCTGCTGGAGCTTGCTGTTGCCAAGGCTGATATCCAACTGCTGGACGATGATGACCAGGTTGAGCAGATGCAGAATGAGGAGGGATGGGAACTTGTTCCCCTCAAGGGTAAGATGATTGGTATCAAGACAAGTACCATGGATGACAAGCACATGGCCATTGAACTCCTGGTCGTCTACGCCCAAGTCCTTGAGGCTTCTTTTGCTCCATATGTAGCGGAGATCATGGAAAAGATCGCTTTGCCTGGCCTTGCATTCTTCTTCCACGATCCTGTTCGATATATCTCTGCCAAGCTTGTCCCTCAGCTGTTGAGCTCCTATAAGAAAGCCTATGGCCCACAGTCCAACGAGCTCCGTGGTCTGTGGAGTGCTACTGTTGACAAGCTCCTCGAGGTCTTGACTGCCGAGCCTGCCATCGACACACTTGCTGAGATGTACCAATGCTTCTATGAATCTGTTGAGGTCATTGGAAAGGACTGTCTTTCTGCAGATCACCTCAGCCGATTCATCGACTCGGTACATTCTGCTATTGAGGACTACAAGGACCGTGTCGCGCAGCGTCTGGAGGATAAGGAGGGGGCCACTGCAGAGGATGTGGAAGATGAGGCTGAGGATACTCTGATGGCTATCGAGGATGACCAGACCCTGCTTTCGGATATGAACAAGGCTTTCCATGCTATTTTCAAGAACCACGGTGCTGCGTTCTTGCCTGCCTGGGAGCGATTGATGCCCACATACGAAGGCTTCCTTACCTCAAACGATCCCACCCAACGCCAGTGGGGACTCTGCATAATGGATGATGTCCTTGAGTACTGCGGTCCTGAGAGCACACGATATGCCAACTACATCACCCAACCGCTCATCGATGGCTGCCGTGATGCTTCGCCGGCTATTCGCCAGGCGGCAGCTTACGGCATCGGAGTTGCGGCGCACCGAGGTGGAGCACCGTGGGCGCAGTTCTTGGGAGGCTCAGTCCCCTTCTTGTTCCAGGTCACTCAGGTTCCTGACGCCCGTAATGAGGACAATGTCTATGCGACTGAGAATGCATGCGCAGCTATCGCCAAGATTCTCCACTACAATGCAAGCACAGTTGGAGACGTGCAAACCGTGATTACACAATGGGTAGAGACTTTACCCGTAACCAACGATGAAGAAGCGGCACCTTATGCTTATGCATACCTTGCGGAGCTGATTGACCAGTAAGTACTCTCCGCCCTCAACCTACTACCAGTAATTTGGTGTGCTCATGCTAACGCTTGGAACTTGTAGACGACACCCAGCTGTAGCGAACCAAGCGGGCAAGATCTTCGTGTTTATTGCTCAGGCTCTCGAGGCAGAGACCCTTGTGGGACAGACTGCCAACCGTGTAGCACTAGCAACTAAGGGGTTTCTGACATCGACCGGCGTTGACCCTACACCCCTTCTGCAGCAGTTTTCTCCTGAGGCGCAGCGAACTATCATGGGATTCTTCAACTAGGAGGAAGCTCGCAGATGGGCTGAGTCTCGCCACCCTTTGGGAAGTCATATGAAGGCAGACTAGTTCATATCACCCAGCCGATTGTCGCCGGGTGTCGAAATGGCCCTATAGGCCGTTTCTGGAGAGATATAGCGGCCTGTCTTTAGACGATGAACGCTATAAGATGGCCAGCCATGGGCTTGGAACCCGTTCACGGGGCAGGCAGTTCCAACAGGCAAGTTCGCAAAGCAATGGTGGCATCAACGTGATGTGGAAATGCGCTTCATTCGAGCAAAGTGTATCGGGTTCGAATCAGCATCCAGCCAATACCATGTTCCGAGCGTGGAAGAAGAGAAACAGAGGACGACGGTCCTAGGCGTCGGGGTAAAAATGAGAGGGCATTTTGTTTAGGCAGTCTATATCCTCAAGACCGCATGGCGCCTTTTTTGCAAAATCATTAGAGTTTACGAGTTAGGTTATTGATAACTGGTTAGTACCTCGTCGCGAGGGTTTTGGTCGGCAGCGGCAAGACAGTCAGTCGGTTGGTCGGTCTGTGATATATATAGATGACGAGTTTTGTAGCGTACGGAATTATGAATAAAATAACCACACCGATATTGTTTCCAGGGCCAAATGATTAGATGGGCTGGGGGAGATATGGAATGAATGTCTTTTACTCGCAGGCAGGATGGTTAATGAGGCCCTTTCTTGATATCGGCGATACTCTGATATTTGTCTCTGACTTGCTAAATGAGTATTTATTGATTCAGCCACGATTCGCAATAGTACAAGGATGGATGATAAGGAGGGCGAATTGAGTCAATGTACTGCCCAACTTCGGTGCCCAAGGTGCTAAGTCAGAGTATTAACTCTGTCGCCATCATCAGAGCGCAAATGCCATTTCAAAATGAAAGACTCGTGAGCATTGGCACTTAAAACAAAGTTAGTGGTGATGGCGACAGGGTTGACGGGTACCTTTAGGTGAAAGCAAAGCCACACACACACACACACACACACACATGGAGGGGGGGGGCGTGTTGAATCTCGAATACTGTATATACATACTGTACTAACCCTCTATCTCAATGAATGATGAATGCTTACTCGCACTTTGGTCTTACTTTTTCTGGCCTGCAAGGAACGGCGGGTGTGCTAGCGAATTCGAGACATTCTCATGCAGGGTATTCATTGCATATCTAGGGACTTGCTTGCACGACTTTCTTTTTTTTTCTATCTTTTCTGGTAAGGAAGATGCATTTTTTAGTAGTATGAGATTTCAGATATCGATAGTAGTGACTTTGACTGACTGTGTGTCTCAGTGCAAATACAGGACATTGCCCAAAACGGAGATGATCTCTAGACTTGACAGGCACAGGGCATGTACAGACCTCCAGCTAGAAAGGATAAATTGTTGTGCTGCCCGGACAGAAGCGAAGCACACCTCAGGGTCTTCCCGTCGGGTCCCAGCCCAAAGGCCCCCCAATGTTGTCCTCCAGTAAACCCGATAGACAGGGTAAGGTAGCCACGTCTTTTATCATTCGGGAATTATTTTTAAAGTTATATAACGATATCAAATTACAACTGTCTCTTTATATGGTTTCTATCAGTTTCTGTTAAATAACCAACGTTATCGTCATGCTATGATTTATATACAGAGTAGGTAGGTACCCAGAATCACCCATCTGATGTCAAATCATTCCCGGCTCATGCTCGAGTCTAGCCTCTAAGGGGCAATGCGCAAGTCTCTTGCACCGGAGTTACTCCTGGCGCCTCTCAATCAACGCGCAAGTTCAAGTCCCTAGATCGCCCTCACCCCACATTGGATGCATGAGTCCCTACAGTACCTGTACTGTACGGTACAGTTAGGTAGAGTAAGTGCAGTACAAGTACAGTGCTGTGCGCTACCCTCGACAGGCTAAAGTCTTGAGATGGATACCTACAGATAGGTACCTCACCTCACCTTGAGCTGTGCACATGCACATGGGAATCTTGAAAGGGTTCGACTGAGCCGCAGAAAGCGGCAGTCACCAGTTTCTCTCTCAAGCTCGTAGTTAGGTAGTTCTCAATCTCCGGCTTCCATTAGCTAGCACCAGTAGCCCATAACGTTAGTAGTCCGTCCGTTATCCTTCGGCCTGTCTTGCTTCTCACCTCGCACTAGCCACACCATGATCCATTGGATCCATCCAATCCCACCCGACCTTTGACTGCCTGCTCTTTGCCTGGCCTAGCTCCTAGGTAAGTTGGTAGGCGTGGCATGGCATGGCGTGGAAGGTAAGGCAAGACAAGACAAGGTGTACCTAGGTTAGTAGGTAGGTACTTTCCCCCACCCACACACACACCCAAAGCAGGCATCTGCTTCTCACGCATTCCCATTCTTCTTCTGCCATACCGTCCTCTACTTCTCCATCCCTCTCGAGTTCCCCTTCAAACGACCGACATAGCGAATCATCCCTCCTCGACCTTGACGCGATCCAGCCTCCAACGTAGAATCCTCTTTTCTCTCGCTTTCCCTCCTGATCGCAAATTTCCCGCATTTCCGACCTTTCCATCGCCGATTTTTGAGCCACAGTCCAATCCCGAACAGTACAAATTCGACCAAGCACGAAATACCCGCCCCCGCGCATTTGCCATCTGCGATTATCCATACCCTGTCCCTCTCTTTTTCGCTCGGTCGCTTGATCTCTCCGGCCTGATTTATCACGTCAAACCATCGACCCGACCCGACTCGACGTCGACGAAACCCATCTCGACCCGCCACGGTTCTACCATATTGCGACTTCTCTCGCCTCGTCATATTTGTTGCGTTTGTCACCAGTCTTCGCTTTTGTTTCCGCTCCAGCTAGGGTCTCCTCATCAGGCCGCCAACCTTTCCGACGCCTCGGTAGTCGAACCAGGACACCACCTGCCAGACTTCGCGCCATACATACGGGACAATACCCGCTCACCACTTCCCTCGAGCGCCTGGCTAGGCCGTCCAGCCAGATGCTGTCGCTATGGATGGCTACTACTCCCCCCATCAGCAGCAGCAACAGCAGCAACCATCTCAGCAGTTCCAACAACCTCGAATGCAGCAGAACCAGCAGAACCACATGCAGCACAATATGAATGACCCGACTTTCTACCAGGGAGGAGATTCCCTCGATGATATTGTGCGCGATAACCAAGACAAGCTATACCGCCGACAGAGCATGCCTCAAGCCTTTGCTAACCCTATGGGTCAGTTCCAGATGAATCAGCAACAGCAGCAGCAGCAGCAAGGGCAAAGGCGGATGTCTTCAGTCGGCAACGGCGACATGATGAGCTTTGGAACCGATAACGCCGACCTCAACTCATACCAATTCAACCAACCACCCATGGGAGGGGTGTTTCCCACCATTAATACCTCCATCGGCATGGACCAAATGGGCAATTATATGACATCCGACCCAAATGACTATTCGACCATATCCCCTGATATGATGAGTTCTATGATGCCCTCTACCTTTGCAAGCATGAGCGTTGGAGCACAAATGGCCGGCAACGCTTCACCGATGAACCTTTACTCACCGTCCATGAGCCAGTTCCCACAAGGCCAACTGACCCCTCAAGTTCAGGTTGGTAATGACTTCTCCATGGATCTTTCTCCAGATGCAGGCTCCATGAATATGAACCAAACCAACCCCCCCACGACGACCCCGATCCCTGCTCCCGCCAACAACGCCATGGATACCATAGAGGACTCGGGCGACAGTATGATGAACCATCAGGCTTTCAACAACATGAATGCTGGAGATAACAACCAAAACTTACCTGCACTTTCTCGCCAAGTCTCAACTGCCTCCGGCTCTGTTGTTTCACCTCCACAGCAACACTCACACGGAGCCATGTCCTCTTCAACCGTTACTCATCCGACCAGCACTTCAGTTGCAACGACCCCATCAACCGGCGATGCCCCGAGGGACTCGAAGGAAAAGACGATATACTCAAAGAGTGGATTTGATATGCTTAAAGCTCTGTGGTTAGTCGCTACTCGTAAGAACCCGCGCATACAACTTGGCGCTGTGGATATGTCCTGCGCCTTTGTCGTCTGCGATGTCGCCATGAACGATTGCCCTATTATATACGTTTCCGATAACTTCCAAAACCTTACCGGCTATAGTCGTCATGAGATTGTCGGTCAGAACTGCCGCTTTCTGCAGGCCCCAGATGGCAAAGTCGAAGCGGGCTCCAAGCGAGAGTTCGTTGATGACGGAGCTGTCTACAATTTGAAGAAGATGGTTCACGAAGGCAGGGAAGTTCAACAGAGTCTTATCAACTACCGAAAGGGCGGAAAGCCTTTCCTCAACCTTCTTACTATGATCCCCATCCCGTGGGACACTGATGAGATCAGATATTTTATTGGTTTCCAGATTGATCTCGTCGAGTGTCCGGACGCGATCGCATCGAACCAAGACCTTGGCGGTGTAAAGGTGAACTACAAACACAGCGACATTGGCCAATATATCTGGACACCACCGCAATCCAGTCACTGGGAGCCCGATAATGGCCAGACATTAGGCGTTGACGATGTCTCCACGCTGTTGCAGCAATTCAGCCCCAAGGGCCTCACCTCTGATTGGCATAAGCAATCATGGGATAAGATGCTCCTCGAGAATACCGACGATGTGGTTCACGTTCTCTCGCTCAAAGGTCTCTTCCTATATCTCTCTCCGTCCTGCAAGAAGGTCCTAGAATATGAGGCTGCGGATTTGGTTGGCAACTCACTCTCAACAGTATGCCATCCATCTGATATCGTTCCTGTTACACGCGAGCTGAAGGACACAACAACCGGAAACCCTGTCAACATTGTGTTCCGAATACGCAGAAAGCACAGTGGTTACACTTGGTTCGAAAGCCATGGTTCACTGTTTGTCGAACAAGGAAAGGGTCGAAAGTGCATCATCTTGGTAGGCCGCAAGCGGCCGGTGTTTGCTCTAAGTCGCCGCAATCTTGAAGCGAATGGTGGTATTGGGGACAGCGAACTTTGGACGAAGCTCTCGACATCGGGCCTGTTCTTATACGTCTCTTCGAATATCAGATCTCTCCTCGACCTCCAGCCTGATAGCCTGGTGGGAACCAGTATACAGGATCTTATGCGAAAAGAATCACGTCCCGAGTTTGGGCGAACACTGGAAAAAGCCAGGCGAGGAAAAATTGTCACCTGCAAACACGAGGTCCAGAACCGTAGGGGCCAAGTGTTGCAAGCCCAGACGACTCTGTACCCGGGTGACGCTTCTGAGGGCCAAAAGCCATCGTTCTTGCTTGCCCAGACAAAGCTTCTCAAGGCATCATCACGTAACCTGGCTCCCGCCAGCACCGGTTCCAGGTCTCTCGCCGCAACCCCGAGATCCAGTAACGGCACCGAAATCCACGCCACGGGTCATATTTCACAGCCTGCCGGTGGTGCGTTGGCCCCCGGTAGCCAAGACGCTGCTTTGGCCTCGGAGGACAACATTTTTGATGAATTGAGAACAACGAAATGCTCTAGCTGGCAATTCGAGTTGCGGCAGATGGAAAAGATTAATCGTATTCTTGCTGAGGAACTTGGCGGTCTGCTTTCCAGCAAGAAGAAACGTAAGCGAAGAAAGGGCGTTGGCAATGTGGTGCGAGACTGCGCCAACTGCCACACAAGAAACACGCCCGAATGGCGAAGAGGACCCAGTGGTCAAAGGGATCTTTGTAACAGCTGCGGTCTTCGGTGGGCCAAACAAGTACGCCTCTTCTATCCTCTATCAATCGTGATGTTTATTAACCATTTTATCAGACTGGTCGGGTTTCTCCACGCAACTCTTCTCGCGGGGCTAATACAGCAAATGGTGATGCTCGAAGCAAAAAGTCCAACTCTCCCTCGTCACCGCTGCATAAAGAATTGTCAGCAGACAACTCCAAAGCGCAAACACCCAACGGTGAAAACGGCATAAATCCAGCCCAACTCACGAAGCAAAAGATAGAAAATGGAACATCGGCACCCAGCGGTGCCCCTTCAGCGACAGGGGTCAAATCATCGGCCGGAATGCCACCGCTAAGCCATTCATCCATGTTGGGCGTCGGCCAGGCCTCGTCGATGGCTTCGATCCGAGAAGAGCGGGAGACGAGTCAGCCTTGAACAACAAGCAAAATGCATTTCCGTCTCTTGATGTTTTCGATCCTCGACGCTGCAACTTGGTAAAGGATCTACGGAGCGTGGTGTCTTGATTAAACGGCATTTGTGATACCCGCCACTTTTCTTTCTTCACGCTAGCCTCTCTTTCAGACCTGAGGCTCATGGATTTAACAAGGCATTTGTGACACCCGTGGCCTGGGACTTACATGATGGTACTAAGCATAACGAGCTTGACTGCTTTTATTTATTTCGGAGAGAAATACCTTCTCCGTGGTGTACGAGACTCCGGGATTTTGGCATTGGGAATAGACACGATATACCTACAACAACATACACGAGGCGTTAAGGAATATGATGGCATGAATACGACTTGGACAGATCTTCCTGGCCTTGGCCTCTGATACAGATTCTGCACTTATCGACAACGTCCATGGGCCCGATGGCCCGGCTTTGGTCTTCATGCTTCTACTCAACATAGAGTGAGGGCTGGGTTTATTCATTTGAATGCTAGTACGGTTCCATGTTTAGCACGGCAGGGTAAGCATTGTCAGGAGCATGTAAGGGGCATGTGGCTTTGTACAGTGAGTGGTGTTAGTTGTATTTAGGGATGACTTTTGCGTACATATACGTACTACAGCAATAGCGCGGCGAAGCATGGTCTAAAATAAGGAACAGATATGATAATTTGGATACTCAGCTTTGATGTGATGACTCGTCCATGTACAGCTCGGCCACACTGCCCAAGTAAGGGGGAGGCTAGTTAGTACAAAGGGTAACTCATGGTAATAGTCCAACCCCAACCCCCTGTTTAGTGGTGAAGGTTAATGAGCAGCAATCTAAAGGAATCTGGAATACATGTGAGTCCTAGCATTACTTGAAGCTCAAACCCATATAGCTTTTGGTTTTTGCATGTAGTTGACATTATCAGATAGATTTACACCGACTTACCCTAGAATGCCAACACCACCTCGCCGTAATTCCCCAAAGTACCTGGACTGGCAAACTTGTACCCTTTGGGAATGAGTGAAAGGCAACATGTCATCAGTGGCATGTGATGTGCTAAGGGTACAACCATCACAAAAGACAGATGGTGGGCTGACGTAGGTGGCTTCGCTGCCGATAAGGGTTGCGCTTGGATTGTGGCTGCATTGGCAAGATAAAGACACTGCAACATCAAATTTCGTTCGGTCTGAAGATGCAACCATCAAAAAGGGAGGGTTTGTTAATTGTGCTAAAGACTGTTAGTGGTGATACCTCTTTAGGCTGTCCAGCTGCCACAGAACCTTTAATTCAAGGCTTGAGATGGCATCAGAGGTTTGGTGGCCGAAGATGTGGCATAATTGAATGACTCTGGAAGATTGCAAATAGATGAGATCTATCGATATATGTGCAGTTCTAAATTTGCTCAAGTCAAATTGGGCATGAGCCAAGACTTCCTCAAAGCTCATCCTTTGTATGCACTGGCTCCTCCATCGTCCTGCTCTTCGGGTTCTTCTCACTGCTATCTCCAACCCTGCGTCGACGATCCAGCGCCGCAATCTCCTCATCGTAGACGGTCCATTCTGGAACCTGCCTCCTGGCGCGATCGAGTTTGGGCTCCTTTGTCTGTGGGTTGTTACACAAGTCAATGGTACGCGCCTGAGCCAGACTCTCGTCACTGCACCACGTCTCACACCAGAGCCACTCCTGAGGAAGACTGTGGATTGGGATTGTGAATTGCATGTTGTTTGGCAGGTCCTGGTCCAGGTTGGACAAGCTGTTAGGGTCAGCTGAGAGTGCGTGGTACTGCTGTCGAAGGCGGTCTCCTGCTGCCAGCTGGCGGAACCGGTTGAGGTCAACAACGTAGAGGGCTGAGATATGGTACGGCAGCCCACGAAGATAGTTCGCCCAGTAGCCCTGTTTCCAGAATCTGAAGCCTTCCATTTCAGTGCGCGAGTCGCACATGGGTGTGAAGCCGTATGGAGCACCCTCTAGGTCATGGTTCACAAGGTCAATCATATCAGTGCGGACGATTTGATCAGCATCGACAAAGATGACCTTGTCCAGGGAAAGCGGAAACAACACATCAAGGAAAAGGATCTTGTACCCCCATATCTCGCGCTGTTTCTCTTTTTGTTGGCGGAGCCAATGAGGCCATTTGTAAGTAACCATCTCGTACTTGAATCCATACTCCGCAGCCATATGAGGAATGAATTCCTTGAACGAGGGAGACAAGAACTGCTCAATGAACCAGAACTTGACGGTGTGCTTGGTGTTGCGCATAACCGATACCATCATGATGTTGAGCATGCGCTCGTATAAGTGACCACTGGCAACACTGAAGATGTTGATTTCAGCATGTTCTTCGGCCGAAATCTCTTTGGGCGTCTTGGCCCCTCCGAGAAGACTCTCAGCAAACTTGAGGCCCTTAGCAACAATGCCGCTGTCTTCACTGTCTGGAGATTCCAATACATCGACTTCTTCCATTCCTGGCCTGCGATTGAGACGAGGATATAGGGTCGTGCCCTTGAAGTCCATGAGGGCGATTTCCGTGCCTTCGTCTCCGGGAACCGGAGCATATCCGTGAGCACCAACACTCTCGATGGTGAAGATTTTCGACGTTCGGCCTTGCTTGAGTTGAATATTGTAGAAACCAGGATTAGCCTTAAACTGGAAGTAGCCTAGATTGGCCATGACTATGGTATCTGTGATGAGGGGATCTCTTTCCGTGGCTAGGGTTAATTGTGCACCTCTTGGTGCACCTCGCTTGCCATCTCTGGAGTGACCTTCAATCAAAATATTCTCCAGCTCATATATCACATCGATGTCGGCTTTGACAGAGCTCAGCTTGATGTTGTCCAAATCCTGTACAGACTCTCTAGCAGCCACTAGCCAAGCCGGAGGCACATCCATGCCTGCTGTTAACAGAGCCTCAGAGGGAAGGCCTTTGAAAGTCGCCTTAGGGCTCTGAACATAGCCAGCCTGATCAAAAGAAGGCTCTGAGTCAAGTACGTAACGGAAGAATCGTGTAATGGGAAGTTCTGCAACTACTTCCTTCGGGTTCATAAAAAGCTTCAGATACACTCCATCGAGCTCAGACAAGACCTTGAGAATGGGTGCCCATCTCTGACCTTGTTCACTGGTAGGATTCAGAAGACCAGCGATATGAACACTTGCAGTTTCGGGGTTGCCGACTTCAATAGCGCTATAAGTTGAGTTCCAAGTGTTATACATGGAGCTTCGGATGGACGGGGCCGACTCGAAGATGCCTTGAGGGAGATCAGAAATAGTAGAGAGTGCCGTGATCGAGGTGAGCTTGGCGGCTGCAATGGGATCCGAAAGCTTATCTTCAAAGCCAAGGTCCTTGATCGCAGCATAAACAGGAAGAATCCTGTTCCGTTGCTCAAATTCCAATAGCTGCTGCAAATCGTCCTCATTGAAAGACACATCGGACGGCAGGGGACCGACGACTCGGCCGTTGAGGAGCAGTCCCTTTGTACCAGGAAGTATATTTGAAGCAGAGAGGAAGTCGGCAAGCGCAGTGCCAAGGCCATCATCTTCAGCTGTCCAAGACGCCCCAAGAATGGCTTTCAGATCATCCTTACTCTTCATCTCAGCAAGCTTGCCTTCGTTAAGCTTAAAGGCGCCATTGATGGCATGAGCCTCTGCGGATGACGGCGGGTTATGAACAAGGTCAAGTCGGACGCCAGGGTTCTTTCGCTTGAATTCAAGGGCAGCCAAAAGAAGGTCTTGTCCGTCATCGGCTGCAAGGTCGGCGACGACTGTGAGCACAGCCCAGCTTTCTTTGGGAGCCTTCGAGTCTGAGGGAAGGACGGCAATGTTGCTAAACAATCCCGCAAATTCCTTATGAAGCTTGTTGATATCAACAACGCGAAGGGCCTTCTCATCGTCAGGAAAGACGTATGTGTTGCGCTTGGAAAGAGCGTCACGGAGGAAGAGGTCTGAAACAGGTGTTCCCTCTTCAATTTGCCCAAAGTACACAGCCTTTTGGATTGCTTGTTGATCCTCGGTTAATCGCTGGCCCATGGTTTGAACCCACGATTTCTCACGTGGAATAGCCATACCATTCACAAAGACAGGACGCACGGTAGTGTCAGCATTGAGTCGGTTAGCCCAAGCCTTGCTTGCTTCCACCCTCTGCTTATAAGTATCGGCTTCGAGAATCTCGGCCAATGTCATTTTGTTCGCTCCTGGTAGTGTTTCTCTTCCATCAATAGCCCTGGTGAAAGCCTTCTTGTTGGCCGCACCCTCTGGCCCCTCTTCACTCTCTTGGAGATACGTAATGAGGGACTCGAATCCATATGTTTCCATCAAATGATAAACGACCTTGGCCTGAGCAGCAGAAGCAGGTGTAGCGGCCAAGGGAAGTATGCCGAACCTCAAGGTGACACCGCGTTGCATGAACTGGGCTAGTTGACCAAATGCTCGCCCATCCTCAATGTTGGTGAAGTCAACTGGTGCCACAATGTGGAAGAGGTTAAGAGCCACCTGCGGAAGTTGTCCAGGATATGTACGCTGAAGGAGCTATGAGGTCGTTAGTGGTATGGTATCAAGAGGTAATCTTCTTACATACTGCTGTCAAATCGCTTGGGAGCTTCTGGTATCGAGCGTCCTTCTCGAGGTCGTTCAACCACAAGAGTGCCTTGCCCTCCTCCAATCGATCTGTCCAGTCAAACCTGGGCGGTTCATCCTCAGCCTTCGAACTAGCAACTTCAGAATGCCCAAGAAGTGAATTAGCCTGTTGGCCATTGAAACCAAGATCACGGACCCCATCGATCAGCTTGCGCTCACGGCGAATCATCTCAATGAGCGTAAATGGCTCAATTTGACGCTCAATGAGTTGAACACCGTTCATCCAGAGAAAGTTGATGCCACTGGGAATACCGGCAGCAACGTTTTTCTCCTGCTCTGCAGCAAACTCCTTTGCGACTTCATGAGTGGCGATCGATGCTGAGAATTTGGGGAAATCCTGGGTCGATTTGACTAAAGCATCGAGAGGATTT